TTTCTACCAGAAGCATGTGTAGTGAGGAGGGCGTCCCCGTATTTCTACCAGAAGCATATGTAGTGGGAAGGGCGACCCCGTATTTCTACCAGAAGCATATGTAGTGGGAAAGGCGACCCCGTATTTCTACCAGAAGCATATGTAGTGAGGAGGGCGACCCCGTATTTCTACCAGAAGCATATGTAGTGGGAAAGACGACCCCGTATTTCTACCAGAAGCATATGTAGTGGGATGGGCGAACCCGTATTTCTACCAGAAGCATATGTAGTGGGATGGGCGACCCCGTATTTCTACCAGAAGCATATGTAGTGAGGAGGGCGACCCCGTATTTCTACCAGAAGCATATGTAGTGAGGAGGGCGACCCCGTATTTCTACCAGAAGCATATGTAGTGGGAAGGGCGACCCCGTATTTCTACCAGAAGCATATGTAGTGGGAAGGGCGACCCCGTATTTCTACCAGAAGCATGTGTAGTTTGGAAGGGCGACCCCGTACTTCTACCAGAAGCATATGTAGTGAGGAGGGCGGCCCCGTATTTCTACCAGAAGCATGTGTAGTTGTTAGGGCCATTCTGTGTTTCTACCAGAAGTATATGTAGTGGTAAGGGCGATTCTGTGTTTCTACCAGAAGAAAATGTAGTGGTAAGGGCGATTCTGTGTTTCTACCAGAAGTATATGTAGTGGTAAGGGCGATTCTGTGTTTCTACCAGAACCATGTGTAGTGGGAAGGGCGATTCTGTGTTTCTACCAGAAGTACTGGCATATGTAGTGAGAAAGGTCAATCTGAGTTTCTACCAGAAGTACTGGCATATGTAGTGAGAAGGGCGATTCTGGGTTTCTACCAGAAGTATATGTGTAGTGGTAAGGGCGATTCTGGGTTTCTACCAGAAGTACTGGCATATGTAGCGAGAAGGGCGATTCTGTGTTTCTACCAGAAGTATATGTGTTGAGAAGGGCGATCCTCTGTTTCTACCAGAAGCATATGTAGTGAGAAGGGCAATTCTATATGTCTACCAGAAGTATATGGAGTGAGAAGAGCGATCCTAAACTACAGTTAAGGATAGTGACAAATGGCCTTCCGAAACCTGAAAGTAATAGGCACTGCCGACCAAATTGATACTTGCTTGCCTTTCGCCAAGGCACCCTTTCCAACCAGTGTTCAGGTTAACCGCGGTGACATTCAAAGGCCCTGGTTGTACAAGCATAGTGCAATGTTTATTTCTGGTTAATGTCGCACTCAGCAATATACGGATCAATGCAAGAGAATAACCTGTCTTGATCATCCGCCGTAACAGATCAAATTTGACGTAAAGGGCAAAATAGATGTGACGAGTATATGAATGCACCAATGAAAATCAGTAATGACACCAGGGCCCACTTGCACAAAGCGATCTAAGCGCTAAGATGATCGTAACTCCCATACTTTAACATAGGCTTACAATAGTTGTAGCGCTAAGATCGCTTCGTGCAAGTGGGCCCAGGTGTTCCCGAAAAGCTTATGTTATGAGCCATGAAACCAAGGCTGACCACGGGTCCGTGTGGTTGCCTCCAGGATCAGCATAGGTTTCTGGAGGCCTGTTCTTTATGTAATATCGGAATGACCACAGGGAGAGGACAGAGTAAGAATATACTATGTCCTTGTTTAAAGCCATGTTCATTTCGGAGGAGAATTCACCATATGCGTATACGGGAAGGGCGTGGTGGGTCTGGATCTTGAAGTTGACTGATTTATATAATGAGTGTATGATAGGAAAATATATAGCCGGATATTCTCTCTGATGACAGATATTACGGACACCTGATGTACATTAATACATGACGAAATATCTGCATAGGCGTGCGCCACGCCTACTTGTAGAACAGTCGCGGCTGTTCAACATAGAAAACCACATACAACCATGTTCCGCATACCGTCAAGCATTAAGTAACGGCGACTATGAAATTTTGTGACACTGTATCTGATCCTAAATGTCATGGGCAATAACTGTCAATGAATCAATGTAAAAAATAACGCTAAAAAGTGAGTGAATGTGTGAACGGCGAAGTTGACGACAATCTCAAAGACTAAAGTTTTGTAGATTATATGCTGTTGCTATAGGGCACAAAATAGAGTTACCATGAACTCTTGTGGTATGTATTCGTTCACATTTAAGTGTGTTTGTTTTATTGTAATATAAATATGCACTTAGCTGCTTCTCAGCTATATGACAACACCCTTTAAATAATCGAGTCCGGACCAGACAATACAGTGATATTATCAGCAACAATCTGGACCGTCGGGTGACGCGGACACAGACAGCGAACCGGTGACCACTCCATCCATCTGGTACCTTTTTACGACCAACAAAGTTGTTGGTCACCTATTCTGACCTGGCATCTCCACGGGGCTATCACATACGCGAAATTCACAATCTTTCCATATTTTGTATAATTTTACAAATAGCTAGGGATACTACTTACATATTTATTAATGTTAAGTAAACTTATTTTAAAACGTCTCAAAAGTGGGTAAACGGGTAGTTCACCAAGGTTTCCAATTTGGAAGTAACACCCTAATGTTGTATTTAAGTCATGTTTACTCGATTCGTGAGTCGTGTTTCTCATCATTTGTTGCTACCATTTTAGTTTCGCTCACCTAGGTCACTGAAACAGAGTATACGTGCTTGTAAAACATTGGAGTTTCATAATCTTAAGTCTTATGAAAGCATGAAGAAGTAATTGTGGAGTGAAAATCAATTCATCTCGCATATGTCAAGGACTTGGAATGTCCTAAAACGTGTCTGTGCACGTACATTGTTTTATACGTGTCTTGTATCTATCTTCATGTCTTGACTGAACGTAAAACTGAACTGTCACATATTGATAGGATTGTTTTACAGCTTTTGTGATTAAATGGAAATGATAGCCATTATATAGAAACGGTTGTGATTATATAGAAATGGTTGTGATTATATAGAAAGTGTTGTGATTATATAGAAATGATAGCGATAATATGGAAAAGGTTGTGATTATATAGAAATGGTTAAGATTATACAGAAATTGTTAGAATGATATCAGATTGGTTGTGATAATGATATATTGATGGTTGTGATTAAATAGAAATGGTTGTGATTATATAGAAATGGTTGTGATTATACAGAAATGTTTGTATGAGCTAAAATTGGTTGTGATTATATAGAAACGGTTGTGATTATATTAAACTGGTTGTGGTTAAATAGACATGTTTGTGATCATATAGAACTGGTTGTGGTTAAATAGACATGTTTGTGATCATATAGAACTGGTTGTGGTTATACAGAAATTGTTGTGATTAAATGGAAATGGTTGTGTTTATATAGACACGGTTGTGATTATATAGAAACGGTTGTGATTATATAGAACTGGTTGTGATCATATAGAACTGGTTGTGATTATATAGACATGTTTGTGATCATATAGACATGGTTGTGGTTATACAGAAATTGTTGTGACTAAATGGAAATGGTTGTGATTATATAGAAATAATTGTTATTTCACAGTGATGGTTTGTATGATATAGAATCGGTTGTGATTATATAGAAATATTTGTTAGTTTACAGAGATGGTTTGTATGATATAGAACCGGTTGTGATTATATAGAAAACCTGTGATCATATAGAAATAGTTAACATTTTCCTCTCTCCTATGTAGGAACACCATGGCGATTACCATGCCGATCACGTATCCACAATACACGCATATGAATACAAATTGGTAGTTTGGCTGACTCAGTATATAAAATAAAGTTTACACTGTGTTGTAATGTCGGTGTATATTATCGGTATTTAATGTTACTACGAGATTATTCTGTTTGAGATTTTTTCGTTGGGCAATTCGCTGTGCAGAGGTTCGTCAATAAACGATACCAGGATCCGCTGATCGTGGGGTCGAGTCCCATTTCGCTCTGTGGATTATTATCCCCAGTTTATCAGCACCACACCAGTGGACGCTGGTTGCATAAAAAATGTGCTTTCTTCACATTTAAAATTGGTGCGTCGTGATGTGACTGAAATATTATTAAATGAATAATATTTTATACCTAATTATTTGAGTAAGTGAGTTGGGTTTAACGGCGCTTTTAACAGTATCCCAGTTATATCACGGGTGGCAGCTTAATGTGGGAGGAAAGCCCGAAGTGATGCAGGTTTCAGACGATTACCACTTTGGTGAATCTCACGATCACGGGTATGGTGCTGACAAAGCTAGAAACATAATCTGGGCGAACCGAACCCACAATCAGAGGTTTCTGCCGCGCCCAAGGGACGCAACTCTATTTGCGGCGCATCAGGCGACTGGGCCGTGCGCGAATGCGAAAAATAACATCGGTCCAAAATGTCGCGTTCTGGAATGCTCGGGTTATAATACATTAAAATAGAAAATCTTTTTACAGAAAGGACGTTTTGTTTTGTTTTTTAAATTACCAGAACGCAAGACCATGGTACAGCAAAACGTCGTTTATCAGACCAGCAGAGTTCCGACAAAAATCACTCTGATTACCACATTTCAAGAGAACCGAGCCATTGTCTTTAGGGGATGTAGCTTTGCATATTTATATAGACATCTGCTGGATCTTCGGCCTTCGTTACAAACCCAATTTAGGTTCATATTTGAATTACTTCAGTGGTCCGATTTTCGCCGACAGTCATACAGAGATAGAAGGATCATATTAGTTGAATTTTAAAGTGTACTAAGTAGCCTACGTTTACGGGATTTACCTGACACTAATAGCTTTTTAGTGTTATTCTGATATGACTACAGAACTTGCATTCCAGACATACAATCAATCATAAACTATACCTAGTATATACAACATGGGGATGTCTCTTTGCAGAGGGAATTAACACACACAAAATCAACACTACTCATTTGAAAAAGCTTACTCGTCCATTTTCACCAAACTCATTGTTAACCATAAATTGTATTCAGCATCACTGAACGTGATAGGAATAGTGTCCTTGCCACTATGGTGACCAGCTGCTTGGGTGTGTCAGTCACGACGGCATATAAGGACATACATCCACTGACTGCCACCACTTCACACAGCTGTTGGGAGGCTTTGAATCACACAGTACTGGCACCATGTTTTCACCGCCGACGGTATGTACCTTTTTTCATATTACGTTAGGTATGTTCTTATTCTTCTCATCTGTATGTGGTATGACCGCCGCAAATGACACTGATAAGGGAGCAGACGGGTCTGGAGGTGGTTGTGCGGGACTAGCTGTGATTTGTTTGTTGTTTAACGCCGCACTCAGTAATATTCCGGCTAAATGACGTCGGTATGTAAATATTCGAGTCTAAACCACACAATCCGGTGATACGCAATTGGGATACGATGACATGCATCAACAAAGTCAGCGAGCCTGACCACCGATCCCGTTAGTCATGTCTTAAGACAAACTTGGGTTGCTGAAGACGTATTCTAACCTGGAAGAGGATCTGGAGGTTGTGTGGGACTATCTAGAGTGGAAGAGAAGGGTAAGCGGATGAGGAGGTTGCGTGGAGGGATGGGTAAGCAGATCCTGAAGTTATGTAGGGAAAGAAGGGAAGAAGGTTGTACAGGACTATTATTTAGGATAGAGTTTAATATGACTTTGTGGATTTTGAGGTTAATGTTGTACAGCATGGAATCTGTTGATCAGTAGATATTATCAAGATTACAGAAATTATCAAGTTCCTGGTATCATCACTATTTGATAGTGATTGATAAACAAATGATTATGATATAGTCGGAATCGTACAAACGACTTTGCAACCATCGAGATTTATTATGAATTGTGAAAAGGGTATTGGCGCTTTCATTTCAATCCCATCTTATGTGTAACAATCAACACTAACATGCTGTTGGTTCTCTCGAACTAAATACTTTTGCAGGAAGGATCGGATTTCCTTTTCTGTGAAATACCTCCAAAATATCATTTGTCCTCAGGTTTTAGCCAAAATAATCTTACATTTGATATGAAAAATAAAGTGTCGTGGGTCACCAAAGCACTGTTTGTCTCCTGTTGTGGAATTCTTACAAAATGTGTCTCTTGTGTTCCAGGTCGCTAGTGTAGGGGAGGTTGTGAAAGATGAAGTGGAAAAGGGCGTTGGGGCATTGAAAGAAGAAAAGGATAAACTTTTGGCAGAAGGGAAAGATTTAGAAAAGAAGATGGGGGAAGAGATAGAGGAGGCAAAGGAGGAAGCAAGTGAGTTAAAGGAAGATATAAAAGAAGCTAAGGAAGAAGTGGAAGAAGCGACGGAAGAGGTAAAAGAAGCGGGAGAAGAAATCAAAGAAGAGGCGGCGGTAGAAGAGAAGATAGCAGAGGAAATCAAAGAAGAGGAAGCGGTAGAAGAGAAGATAGCAGAAGAAATCAAAGAAGAGGAGGCGGTAGAAGAGAAGATAGCAGAGGAAATCAAAGAAGAGGAGGCGGTAAAGGAGAAGATAGCAGAAGAAATCAAAGAAGAGGAGGCGGTAGAAGAGAAGATAGCAGAAGAAATCAAAGAAGAGGAGGCGGTAGAAGAGAAGATAGCAGAAGAAATCAAAGAAGAGGAGGCGGTAGAAGAGAAGGTAGCAGAAGAAATCAAAGAAGAGGAGGCGGTAGAAGAGAAGGTAGCAGAGGAAATCAAAGAAGAGGAGGCGGTAGAAGAGAAGGTAGCAGAGGAAATCAGAAAAGAAGAGTAAGAACAACAGAGATCGGCAAAGTGAGTATTTCGTGGTAGCAATAAATCCAGGAGAGTGTTTTAGGAATCTATGTATTGGTGCACGTGGTTGTCCCAAAACCCGAAAGAAGCGATTCAGAATGTGGGTCTTGTTATGTGTATCAACATTCACTGTACTCATTGTGTCAGTTCCTCTATCAGTATCTAAAAAAATAAGCTAGGAAATTTCATTATCAATGAGCAAGTTTTAAGCATTAAATAACATTGATTACAGTGTACTTATCCAGTTGTTGAAGGCATGAATAGGCAGCAGTTTAAAATATGCGGAAAATAATATATGTCTAGATATGACAAAGCTATTTATTGATATGTCAACCAGTATGTTGCTGGTAAGACTCGAAGCATGTACTGGTAACCTCTTGTTGCGGTTGTATAATGTAACCAGGCCGAGTAAAATTCTACTGACAATTATTTGAATTAACTTAATACGTTTCTTATCCATGTAAAGTTTGAGTAAAATTACTAATCGTTAACAAGAGTCAGTACTCTGATTTAACAAATATGAGGAAGTAGAAAATGTGTATTCATTGTTACGGCAAGAAAATCCTGTACAGTGGTGATAGTTTTATCCTGCTTTTCAGCAAGGGATGCTACCACCCAGAAGTACGCCAGCCGCAACTGTGTGTAACAGCCGTCATGCATGTCTCGATGCATGTACGTAATGAGTATACCTGAACTGATGTGCCTTTGACAGCGGAAATGGTCATATGAAAAATAAAGTGCATAAATTGATTTGACGTTTTGATTTTGATTTGCCACCAATATCTTATACTGGTTCACATCACATAAAAGGACTCAACACCAGATGTGTTCTCGTAATACCATGCCCAGTCACGTTATAACACGCTAATAATAGAGTGAAACTCTATGAAAGTAACTGCCCTTTCCAAACCACGTCCCCTTTAATTGGGCTAACCATATAAGGAGAATGGTCCTTGGGTTAGCGGTGTGAGGAGACTGGTCCTGGGGCTAACAGTATGAGGAGACTGGTCCTTGGGTTAACGGTATGAGGAGACTGGTCCTGGGGCTAACAGTATGAGGAGACTGGTCCTTGGGCTAACAGTATGGGAAGACTGGTCCTAGGGATAACGGTATGAGGAGATTGGTCCTTGGGATAAAGGTATGAGGAGACTCGTCCTTGGGCTAACGGTATGAGGAGATTGGTCCTTGGGCTAATGGTATTAGGAGACTGGTCCTTAGGCTAACGGTATGAGGAGATTAGTCCTTGGGCTAACGGTGTGAGGAGATTGGTCCTTGGGCTGACGGTATGAGGAGACAGTCCTGGGGCTAACACTATGAGGAGATTGGTTCTTGGGCTAACGGTATGAGAAGACTGGTCCTGGGGCTAACAGTATGAGGAGACTGGTCCTTGGGGTAACGGTATGATGAGACTGGTCCTTGGGCTAACAGTATGAGGAGACTGGTCCTTGGGATAACGGAATGAGGAGATTGGTCCTTGGGCTAATGGTATGAGGAGATTGGTCCTTGAGATAACGGTATGAGGAGATTGGACCTTGGGCTAACGGTATGAGATTGGTCCTTGGGCTATCGGTATGAGGAGACTGGTCTTGGGGCTAACAATATGAGGAGCTTGGTCCTAGGGCTAACGGTATGAGAAAACTGGGCCTTTAGGCTAACGGTATGAGGAAACTGGTCTTGGGGCTAACGGTATAGGGAAACTGGTGATTGGGCTAACAGTATCAGGGGATTGGTCCTTGGGCTGACAGTATGAGGAGACTGGTCCGATGCCATGGTGACAATATGTAGGTTCCATGGTGAATCAGACACCATGGACAGCATGTGCAAAAAGAATTTGGAAAAACTGCTCCACAGCGATATTTCAAATGAAAAACTAATTTCTTAACAGTGCTCAAATAGAAAAAAAATATTACTGACCTGAGCTATTTTGGAGGTGTGTCAAAGGACACCATGGCCACCTACAAACAGCTAGGTTACACACTGCAACCCCATCCTTATTGTAATCGGTCCTTTGACAGCTATTTATTTGTGGATTGCATGAATGGAAATGTCTGCATCCCAGTTCAATAGTCGGCTCAGAGTCAGTATATCGTGTCTGAGTGGGTTATTCATGTCAAACTGATGCATGGTATCTCAGTGGGCTAGCACTATAAAATTGTCATTATTCCGGACTAGTACAAGCATATACACACACACACACACACACACACACGTGCATCCACGTAACTGTTTAAGCGCAATAATCTTGAACGCAACGTTTAACCCCATTTCAACTCACCAGACAGGGTAACAACAAGTAGTCATCCTTAAACGTCTTTGGGTATGACGCGTCCGGGGATCGAATGCCGGACCTACCGCTCTCTGGGAGGACGATCTACCACTAGACCACGGAGGCAAGTCAGGTGGTGTAGAACAGCTATGAAGATGCAGACCTGGGATTTGCAACATGCGAATATGTTTTGTTGACTGTGACACATTTAATTAGAAAAGGTAGAAACACAGGCCTCAGAAAGTCATCCAAACAAATATTGGTATGTACTATATGAGTAAGTTTTATTTTTAACGTCTCTTTGAACAGTATTTCAGTCATATCATGGTGTAACCCTGAAAAGTGCTGCAGGTCTTACACTTTAGTGAAACCCACAAGAATGAGTATGGTTCTTAAATAACAGCCATCAATATCCCCCGACACAGCATATCTAGTTCTGATTAAAATGCAATGAATATGAGAAAATATATGAATTCAACAAGGAAAGATTGGGAAATGCAAGGTTAAGAAATAGTTGAAAAGCCACAACTAACAAGCTCACAATCAAGTATACACGAAGCCATGTACAAGGCAACTGTGAGATAACCAGTTCCTGTAAGAATGTCTCTCACTGTACGGCAACAAAAGGCCAAAAAGTAGATTGTTTTCACACATCTTTTCAATGACCCTTTCATCACCTAAGCACATGTACACTTTGTCCCCATTGTGGAGTAAGCCTTGAATTATGGCTAACGAGCAAGGGCCATAACTCTGTCAATATTAATTAAAATTAAATATTATTAAACTTAATGACATATCAGTCACTTAATGACCTAATCAAAATGTAATCTATTATGGTTTACGAGAAAACCCAACCCACTGGCGGTACAGTGATAAAAAAGAGCATACAAAGACTCTGTAAAATATAAAATTTTGATGATGCTTTTCGAAATCTATCAACAAAAATGTTTATCCTTGTAAGGACAATATGTGACCTTTCAGCCTTAGTTCCATGACCACATCATCCAGAAATAATGTTGGATTTGCCTGTTCTTGTAAGCGGACACAGTCCAACACGAAGTCTGATGTACACACACTAACATCTCTGCACCCATACAACTCTCAGACGTGAAAATACACCCATATGTGCACGTAAAACTTTCATATTGAAAATTCTTATTTTAAAACCTAATAAAATACCTTCTTTTTTTTTAACTGATAGCAGAAATCTAAATGGTACACATCGTGGACATTAATGACTTGGTAAATGCGAAAAGGCAGCTTGATGACAGAAACGTTGCATATGTTGGTGGTGCTTTTTCATTTTACAGTATGGAAAATAATGTGCTAAAATTCCATACTATTTGATGTACAGACTAAAATGCAACACTGATTGTCAAAATTGAAACACACCCTTTTGCATTGGCAGAGGAGCATTCTCGTTCTTGAAAGTAAGCCCTGGTGTATAAATGCCACAAGGGTTATTGGTGGAAAAGAATTGAACAGAATGTAAATTAGGTTGAAGGCCACAGTATTTCAGATGTAACTGCTGACTGTTGGAAGAAAGCACAATGGATCGCATTTTGTGAATGGTTACCACTTCCGCGAAACTTTGGTTTCATGTAAAGCCTCTGACAGGAATGAATCTGCTTGCCAACAATTCATCAATCGAACCAATGCACAAGGATTAATATCTTATTAAAACCTATGTACAGATATGCATTGTACATGGGTACAATGTGTGAAGCCTATTTCTGTTGTCCCCAGCGTGATATTGCTGAAATATTGCTAAAAGCGGTGTAAAACCATATACATTCACTCACTATTGCCTATGTATGTACAGTATTGCATACCTTTGTATATCTAATTTATGTACAGTATTGCATACCTTGGTATATCCAATGTATGTACAGTATTGCATAGCTTGGTATATCCAATTTATGTACAGTATTGCATACCTTAGTATATCCTATGTATGTACAGAGATGCATACCTTGTCATATCCTATGTATGTAGAGTATTGTATACCTTGGCATATCCAATGTATGTACAGTATTGCATACCTTGGTATATCCAATTTATGTACAGTATTGCATACCTTAGTATATCCTATGTATGTACAGAGATGCATACCATGTCATATCCTATGTATGTAGAGTATTGTATACCTTGGTATATCCTATGTATGTACAGAGATGCATACCTTGGTATATCCAATGTATGTACAGTATTGCATACCTTGTCATTTCCAATGTATGTACAGAGATGTATACCTTGGTATATCCAATGTATATACAGAGATGCATACCTTGTCATTTCCAATGTATGTACAGTTTTGCATACCTTGGTATATCCAATGTATATACAGAGATGCATACCATGGTATATCCTATGTATGTACAAAGATGCATACCTTGTCATATCCAATGTATGTAGAGAGATACATACCATGTCATATCCTATGTATGTACGGTATTGCATACCTTGTCATATCCAATGTATGTACAAAGATGCATACCTTGGTATATCCAATGTATGTAGAGAGATCCATACTTTGGTATGCATACCTTGGTATATGCAATGTATGCACAGAGATACATACCTTGGTATAGTCAATGTATACTAGCCACATAAAGAAACTGTGCACGGAGGAAATATAGATATAAGGGCACACCGTCCATATATGAAAGATAGGTTTGAACACAGCAATTATTGGAGACATTCAAACGCTCATGCACGTGCCATGCGATATGACGTCATTGATGGGGGCCTATGGACGTGCAATGTGTTACTGCACGTGCATCCTGTGCAGCTGTACACAGCATGTGCAACTCAAAATTCGCTGTCACTTTGGAAAGCATGATCTGTGGTCATTCAAAAATTCAAAACATATCACAAGCAAATCATGCCAAGATTGACAGCTGCACAACGTCATAAAGCCATTGGAATGATCCGAGCGGGAATGAGGCAACAACAGGAGGCAACACAATCCCAATGCCATCGTAACACGACATCGGCATTGGTGAGGCGTTATCAGAACACAAATGACGTTGCCAACCACCCACGTTCAGGACGTCCCCGAGTAACGACGCCCCCGAGTAACGACGCCAAGACAGGACAGATGGATTCGAGTTACACATCTCCGACACAGGTTCCAAACGGCAGTAACGACGTCCCAGACAATTCCTGGACTGCGCCGTATCCATCCCAACACTGTCAGGAATCGTTTACGTCAGTACGGGATTCGACCACGATGCCCTGCCATACGTCCCATCGTGACACACCGTCATCGAGTCAACCGTCTAAGATGGTGTCGAAATCATGTTCGCCAACCTCGAATATGGTGGAGAAATGTTGTCTTTACAGATGAATCGAGGTTCAACATTTCCCACAGTGACGGGCGCCAACGTGTCTACCGGCGTTTGGGAGAACGATATGCACGCAACTGTATTGTGGAGAGGAATCGTTTTGGAGGTGGCTCTGTGATGATTTGGGGTGGGATAACAGCACGGCACCGAACCCCTTTGGTGGTTGTTCATGGCAATCTCACCGGTGTTGGCTACAGAGATCAGATTCTGAGGCCTGTGGTCATTCCTTTCCTGCAACGTCATGGCCCGGGATTGACATTTCAACAGGACAACGCTCGTCCTCACACGGCTAGGGTGGCAATGGATTTCCTTCACCATAACAATGTCATGTTACTGCCATGGCCTGCAATTTCTCCAGATCTCTCCCCAATAGAGCATGTGTGGGATGAAATTGAGCACCGTCTGCGTCGTCTTCACATCCTCCAGATAACGTCCGTGACTTGGCACAGGATTTGAGGAGGATATGGCAGGCCATTCCCCAGGCCTTCCAGGCCCATTTGGTGGACTCCATGCGACGCCGATGCACTGCTGTGATTCACACACAGGGTGGTCATACTCGTTATTGACTTTGTGACTTTGTCGTTTGACCCCCTACTCCATTTTGATCTTCTGACGTCATCGTAACAGATGTTGTTCAGGTCCCGTTGACATTTTCTTATGGTCCGATCATTCAGCTGCTACAGCGTCTGCATCAATTTGTTCTTGCTGTGTTGTATTTCAATCCAGAATATATTTTCTCCGTGCACAGTTTCTTTATGTGGCTAGTATATGTACAGTATTACATACCTTGGAATAGCCAATGTATGTAGAGAGATGCATTATCATACATCATCAGGGAACAATGACCCACAATCAGCCAACTTAGAGACTGACCACCAGATCCCAACTCTAGCCAGCTATAAGCATGAGAACAAGCACTAGGCACCAAATTTGAGCCAGAATCCTCATGGAATATAGTCAAGCCTGTGAGCACTTTTCAAAGTTCACGAAAATGGGCCTAGTAGTTAAAAAGTCAAAATTTACAACAGTCTGCCACATAAATGTCACACAACTTCTCATAAACTTTCAATTCAGTCAAGCTCAAAATAATCTGTTGTGACCTCACGTACAGCAAGGGAAAGAAACACATCCCATAACAAATAAAACAGCTGTGCAACAGTTATAACAATATCTTTGTGCCCCATTTTCTTTTTCAAAATAAGTTGTTACAGTCAATTCAGCAATTCAAAAACAAAAACAATGAAAATTTATCATTCATCATCGCTATTTATTAGATTTCAGCAACAAAAACAACAGTATCAATAAATACTTGGAAATGCATAAAACATGTACCTATATTTACCACACCATACAATATAATATACAAAATAAGGTCAATAAAGTGTTTACAAAATGTAACTTATCCACTAACAAATGCAACTGTTTTTAAAGGTGACTCCCACCTATTAAGGTATCTCAGTCTTCACTTTCATCAGCGGGATGTTAATTGTGCAACCGAAACACTTGTAAGTGTGTAGTCAATGATACAGATATCTTTATTAAAATAATATATTTTGAATAATAGCATCGAAGAAATGTTTTGCTTGGTTTTTGTAAGCTGGCTTACAGATTTCACCAAGCCTAGCACAAAATGAAAAGTGACCAAAAGAATAAAAACCAAAAAGAAATTTCTTTGATAGGTAGAACTATTATAGGTTACCATAGTGATGAGACAAGCTTCACACTGCACACATGGCAACATATTCATATAACATTTTGAAGAACAAAAAAATAATCATTTCTGTTTTCACTTTATATTTAATACCAATTTTTCACACAAAAGTCTGTAAGTGTAAGCCAAAAAACAACATTCTGGTCCTAATAAGATCATGTGTAACACAACCATCCCATTAGCATGTTAATATAAGTGACCTTATCTTGTATGTAGACACAATTCTTGCATTTTATATTGTCATCTAAAAGACGAAAGATATATGTAAAAACATATAGTAAATCTAGAAAAGCACATCCCTGAATTTTACTGAACAGCTTTACAAGCAGTAGAAATTAACCCATTTCAGTCACTTATGTCGATTTATAGAAAAAAACTTCAACCTGTTGAAAAGTTCAACTAGTCTTATTGAGCATATTGGGGCTGACTAAAGGGTCCAGGGCCAGTTTCTAACACTGAATATGTTCCTGTTGTTTGGATCTGAGTGAACAATGAAATGTCTGTTTAAATATTAGATACTGCATCCTTTAATGTAACGTCAGTTCTGGTATCACATTCACCTTTCAATATTATCACAATCATCTATCTCACCATGTGTAAGTACAATGACTAACTCAAACCTACAAGTGGCAAACTTTCAAAGTACTAAAACATTTATGCAAGAAGATTTTGAAGTAATCAGGAATTCAGTCATCCAAAGAAATATTCCCCACTCGTGTATATAACATCCTCTTCAAAACCCACTTGATAATATATTCAACAATATAATATGTTATAGACTTGACTTTGTGGCTTGTGATACTTTGGACCCTGACTTCCGACCAAGGGCATTGGAGATAAAACTCCCAGCTTCTATTAACTTGTGAATGTTGACCCCCTGAAAATAAAGAAACAAGTAGTTAAAGTAAGTGAGTGAGTTGGGTTTAACGCCGCTTTTAACAGTATTACATTTGAGTTATATGACAGCATGTCAGCATAATAAGGGAGGAAAGCCCTGAAGGAATGCAGGTCTCAGATGTTTACCACTTCGGTGAAACCCACGAGCACGGGTATGGTGCTGACAAACCTGGAAACATAATCGGGGTGAACCGGGATTCGAACCCACAATCATAGGTTTCTGGTGTGCCCAAGGGATGCAACTCTTCACAGCGAATTGCGGCGCCTTAGATGACTGGGCCACCCATGCCCCCAGTAGTCTCAGAACATACATTCATCAGCATTCGGGAGAGACACAGAAACAGTGGAATAGTCAATACTAACAGCAACAGAAACTAACAGTTTTAGTCCACAAGTCCTAAATGATAACATACAGCAAAACAAGGGCCATTTTCTACTAGTCCTTACGATACCTTAACTATTGGGCAGTCTCGCAAGGAAAATAGGACAAGTGCCAATTGCTAATGCTGACTAACTTGATATATACTACTATGTCATGTACGTAGTGGTGGAAAGACTGATGCATATGGATGTAAAGTTGGCTGGTGAGTGATACTATCTACTAGTGATTACAACTGTACATACATGATTAATTAAAACCTGAATTATTATTATTATGTTGTGTGACAACAAACTAAATTCAGACTACACAAGCCATAAATTCACATTAAATTTTGGATATAATGAATGTAATCCTCAGAGCTCCATTGAAGCTGCACATTTGCATAAAATACGCAAAATATTTCACCATTACCCAATTGAGTTGCTTGCATCCAAATACACACACAAATCTTTTTCAAACCCAATAGTATAACAACAATCTGTGTAATTACCCAATATATTATATTCGCCTTGCATAGATGCATTTCTTTACAGATTTTTATGATGCATGCATTACACATACATGAACTTTACTGCAGTGAATAATGCATAAAATGCATCTTGCCCAAATAAAACTATCAATGCTCAATGTGAATGAAAACATGTATGTAAATACTCAATGGCTAACAAATTATCTGGCACCCTGTGTTCTGTGCAATAATTACAGCACTTTATGGAGTGTATTATATGATAAGCAGCTTCTTTAAACCAACCTCCAACCATGTAGAAATGTGAGTAACATTATACTTACAGTTTTGATTGCCATTCCATTCATCATATAGACCACATCTTCTGTGGATACATTTCCACTAGCACCCTTGGCATAGGGACAGCCTCCCAGCCCCGACACTGAACTGTCCACCACACTGACGCCCATCTGGGGCAACAAGAACCTCATTAGTAAACTAGTTACATCTTTTGATTATATGATGCTTTTCAATCCATACTTTTAAAAGCTTCGTAATACTTTCTTAAATTCTTCATCTTGCTGAAATCTAAAACATGTACCGTATTCGACGTAATAAGCGCCTAGGGCGCTCTCAAAATTAGAAATAGGGGGCTCTTATTAGAATTTTATTTTGGTGGAAAAAACAGAGTTGAAAGATAAATTTCGTGGTTTATGCTGACAGCCTGAAATGTTTATATACGACAGATATATTTTTTCAGAATTCAATTGCCCATAATTAAGGGTGCATAAAACACACAAGTGCGTATTATACGCGAATAAATAAGTCTTGTGTACATAGATCAATCGGAAGGGGTGCTAATTGGGATTGTTCACTAGCCAATATATGAGCAATTATCGCCGTGGGCGCTTATTAGAGCGGAGCGCTTATTACGTCGAATACGGTATATGTAAATGGGAATAACTAATTATACTGAGAAAACACAAGCATTTATGGTGTTTACTGGGACATCACATAGTAAGATACCCATTTCAGGTTTACAGAGGAGTAGCAGAAGAGAGAGCATGTATGGAGTACATTAGAAGAGCATATATTATTAGACCCATGTGAACAGTAAAGAGAGGATGTATGGAGTATACAAGGACATCACACGGTATTATACCCATGTCAGCAGTTGAGAGAGGATGTATGGAGTATACAAGGACATCACATGGTATTATACCCATGTCAGCAGTTGGGAGAGGATGTATGGAGTATACAAGGACATCACATGGTATTATACCCATGTCAGCAGTTGAGAGAGGATGTATGGAGTATACAAGGACATCACACGGTATTATACCCATGTCAGCAGTTGAGAGAGGATGTATGGAGTATACAAGGACATCACATGGTATTATAGCCATGTCAGCAGTTGAGAGAGGATGTATGGAGTATACAAGGACATCACACAGTATTATACGCATGTCAACTGGAGAGAGGATGTATGGAGTATACAAGGACATCACATGGTATTTTACCCATGTCAGTAGAAGAGAGAGGATGTATGGAGTATACAAGGACATCACATGGTATTATACCCATGTCAGCAGTTGAGAGAGGATGTATGGAGTATACAAGGACATCACATGGTATTATACCCATGTCAACTGGAGAGAGAGGATGTATGGAGTATACAAGGACATCACATGGGATTATACCCATGTCAGTAGAAGAGAGAGGATGTATGGAGTATACAAGGACATCAAATGGCATTATACCTGTGTCAGCAGGAGAGAGAAGATGTATGGAGTATACAAAGACATCACATGGTATTATACCCATGTCAACTGGAGAGGGAGGATGTATGGAGTATACAAGGACATCACATGGTATTATACCCATGTCAGCAGTGGAGAGAGGATGTATGGAGTATACAAGGACATCACATGGTATTATACCCATGTCAGCAGTGGAGAGAGGATGTATGGAGTATACAAGGACATCACACAGTATTAGACCCATGTCAGCAGTTGAGAGAGGATGTATGGAGTATACAAGGACATCACATGGTATTATACCCATGTCAGCAGTAGAGAGAGGATGTATGGAGTATACAAGGACATCACACGGTATTATACCCATGTCAACTAGAGAGAGAGGATGTATGGAGTATACAAAGACATCACACGGTATTATACCCATGTCAACTGGAGAGAGAGGATGTATGGAGTATACAAGGACATCACATGGTATTATACCCATGTCAGCAGTGGAGAGAGGATGTATGGAGTATACAAGAACATCACATGGTATTATACCCATGTCAGCAGTGGAGAGAGGATGTATGGAGTATACAAGGACATCACACAGTATTATACCCATGTCAGCAGTTGAGAGAGGATGTATGGAGTATACAAGGACATCACATGGTATTATAGCCATGTCAGCAGTTGAGAGAGGATGTATGGAGTATACAAGGACATCACACAGTATTAGACCCATGTCAGCAGTTGAGAGAGGATGTATGGAGTATACAAGGACATCACATGGTATTATACCCATGTCAGCAGTAGAGAGAGGATGTATGGAGTATACAAGGACATCACACGGTATTATACCCATGCCAACTGGAGAGAGAGGATGTATGGAGTATACAAGGACATCACACGGTATTATACCCATGTCAACTGGAGAGAGAGGATGTATGGAGTATATAAGGACATCACATGGTATTATACCCATGTCAGCAGTGGAGAGAGGATGTATGGAGTATACAAGGACATCACATGGTATTATACCCATGTCAGCAGTGGAGAGAGGATGTATGGAGTATACAAGGACATCACATGGTATTATACCCATGCAAACTGGAGAGAGGATGTATTGAGTATACAAGGACATCACATGATATTATACCCATGCCAACTGGAGAGAGAGGATGTATGGAGTATACAAGGACATCACATGGTATTATACCCATGTCAACTGGAGAGAGAGGATGTATGGAGTATACAAGGACATCACACGGTATTATACCCATGTCAACTGGAGAGAGAGGATGTATGGAGTATACAAGGACATCACATGGTATTATACCCATGTCAGCAGTGGAGAGAGGATGTATGGAGTATACAAGGACATCACATGGTATTATACCCATGCAAACTGGAGAGAGGATGTATTGAGTATACAAGGACATCACATGATATTATACCCATGCCAACTGGAGAGAGAGGATGTATGGAGTATACAAGGACATCACATGGTATTATACCCATGCCAACTGGAGAGAGAGGATGTATGGAGTTTATAAGGACATCACATGGTATTATACCCATGTCAGCAGTGGAGAGAGGATGTATGGAGTATACAAACATCCCATGGTATTATACCCATGTCAGCAGTTGAGAGAGGATGTATGGAGTATACAAGGACATCACATGGTATTATACCCATGCCAACTGGAGAGAGGATGTATGGAGTATACAAGGACATCACATGGTATTATACCCATGTCAACTGGAGAGAGAGGATGTATGGAGTATACAAGGACATCACATGGTATTATACCCATGTCAACTGGAGAGAGAGGATGTATGGAGTATACAAACATCACATGGTATTATACCCATGCCAACTGGAGAGAGGATGTATGGAGTATACAAGGACATCACATGGTATTATACCCATGTCAACTGGAGAGAGAGGATGTATGGAGTATACAAGGACATCACATGGTATTATACCCATGTCAGCAGTGGCGAGAGGATGTATGGAGTATACAAGGACATCACATGGTATTATACCCATGCCAACTGGAGAGAGGATGTATGGAGTATACAAGGACATCACATGATATTATACCCATGCCAACTGGAGAGAGAGGATGTATGGAGTATACAAGGACATCACATGGTATTATACCCATGTCAACTGGAGAGAGAGGATGTATGGAGTATACAAGGACATCACATGGTATTATACCCATGTCAGCAGTGGCGAGAGGATGTATGGAGTATACAAGGACATCACATGGTATTATACCCATGCCAACTGGAGAGAGGATGTATGGAGTATACAAGGACATCACATGATATTATACCCATGCCAACTGGAGAGAGAGGATGTATGGAGTATACAAGGACATCACATGGTATTATACCCATGTCAGCAGTGGAGAGAGGATGTATGGAGTATACAAACATCACATGGTATTATACCCATGCCAACTGGAGAGAGGATGTATGGAGTATACAAACATCACATGGTATTATACCCATGCCAACTGGAGAGAGGATGTATGGAGTATACAAAGACATCACACGGTATTATACCCATGCCAACTGGAGAGAGGATGTATGGAGTATACAAAGACATCACACGGTATTATACCCATGTCAACTGGAGAGAGGATGTATGGAGTATACAAGGACATCACATGGTATTATACCCATGCCAACTGGAGAGAGAGGATGTATGGAGTATACAAGGACATCACACGGTATTATACCCATGCCAACTGGAGAGAGGATGTATGGAGTATACAAAGACATCACACGGTATTATACCCATGTCAACTGGAGAGAGGATGTATGGAGTATACAAGGACATCACATGGTATTATACCCATGTCAGCAGTGGAGAGAGGATGTATGGAGTATACAAACATCACATGGTATTATACCCATGCCAACTGGAGAGAGGATGTATGGAGTATACAAACATCACATGGTATTATACCCATGCCAACTGGAGAGAGGATGTATGGAGTATACAAAGACATCACACGGTATTATACCCATGCCAACTGGAGAGAGGATGTATGGAGTATACAAAGACATCACACGGTATTATACCCATGTCAACTGGAGAGAGGATGTATGGAGTATACAAGGACATCACATGGTATTATACCCATGTCAGCAGTGGAGAGAGGATGTATGGAGTATACAAAGACATCACATGGTATTATACCCATGTCAGCAGTAGAGAGAGGATGTATGGAGTATACAAGGACATCACACGGTATTATACCCATGTCAGCAGTGGAGAGAGGATGTATGGAGTATACAAAGACATCACATGGTATTATACCCATGTCAACTGGAGAGAGGATGTATGGAGTATACAAGGACATCACATGGTATTATACCCATGTCAGCAGTGGAGAGAGGATGTATGGAGTATACAAAGACATCACATGGTATTATACCCATGTCAGCAGTAGAGAGAGGATGTATGGAGTATACAAGGACATCACACGGTATTATACCCATGTCAGCAGTGGAGAGAGGATGTATGGAGTACACAAGGACATCACATGGTATTATACCCATGCCAACTGGAGAGAGAGGATGTATGGAGTATACAAACATCACATGGTATTATACCCATGCCAACTGGAGAGAGGATGTATGGAGTATACAAGAACATCACATGGTATTATACCCATGCCAACTGGAGAGAGAGGATGTATGGAGTATACAAACATCACATGGTATTATACCCATGCCAACTGGAGAGAGGATGTATGGAGTATACAAACATCACATGGTATTATACCCATGCCAACTGGAGAGAGGATGTATGGAGTATACAAAGACATCACACGGTATTATACCCATGCCAACTGGAGAGAGGATGTATGGAGTATACAAAGACATCACACGGTATTATACCCATGTCAACTGGAGAGAGGATGTATGGAGTATACAAGGACATCACATGGTATTATACCCATGTCAGCAGTGGAGAGAGGATGTATGGAGTATATAAGGACATCACATGGTATTATACCCATGTCAGCAGTAGAGAGAGGATGTATGGAGTATACAAGGACATCACACGGTATTATACCCATGTCAGCAGTGGAGAGAGGATGTATGGAGTATACAAAGACATCACATGGTATTATACCCATGCCAACTGGAGAGAGAGGATGTATGGAGTATACAAGGACATCACATGGTATTATACCCATGTCAGCAGTGGAGAGAGGATGTATGGAGTATACAAGGACATCACATGGTATTATACCCATGCCAACTGGAGAGAGAGGATGTATGGAGTATACAAGGACATCACATGGTATTATACCCATGTCAGCAGTGGAGAGAGGATGTATGGAGTATACAAGAACATCACATGGTATTATACCCATGTCAGCAGTAGAGAGAGGATGTATGGAGTATACAAGGACATCACACGGTATTATACCCATGTCAGCAGTAGAGAGAGGATGTATGGAGTATACAAAGACATCACATGGTATTATACCCATGCCAACTGGAGAGAGAGGATGTATGGAGTATACAAGGACATCACATGGTATTATACCCATGTCAGCAGTGGAGAGAGGATGTATGGAGTATACAAGGACATCACATGGTATTATACCCATGCCAACTGGAGAGAGGATGTATGGAGTATACAAGGACATCACATGGTATTATACCCATGTCAGCAGTGGAGAGAGGATGTATGGAGTACACAAGGACATCACATGGTATTATACCCATGTCAGCAGTGGAGAGAGGATGTATGGAGTACACAAGGTCATCACATGGTATTATACCCATGTCAGCAGGAGAGAGAGGAGATATAAGACAGGACAGTACATGATTCTGAAAGAACTGTTCTGTTGGGGTCAGCACCAGAAAGAGAACAAACCTACCTGTAATGCAGCAAAGATGTTAGCCAGAGCCTGGCCATAAGTATCATGGCAATGTACAGCTAGTCTGTCCACGGGAACCTTCTTGCTGACTGTTGCTATCAAGTTCTTCATGCCTCTAGGTGTTCCTACACCGATGGTGTCCCCTAGGGATATTTCATAGCACCCCATGTCGTACAGACTCTTGGCAACCTAGGCACACATATATACACCATGTCAAAAAGTCTTTTCATTAGCGGCGACTATCCGGCGCATTTTTCCTATTAGTTCTACTATCACAATAGATTTCCGTGCATTATCAATCATTCAACATACTGACAAAGCAGAAAACATCCCCCAAGTCAAAGATGCAGCTGTTTGCATTGAAAGTTGAAGCAGGTAACATTGATTATTGGCTGAAATCATATTATGTCTATTGATACTATCGAAAGTGTTTCGTGGCATCGATGATAATAAGGGGTATTGATATTTTCACTTGTCATTGATGTACAGTTGCGATACTGCAATAGTTGGATCAATTGTTACACTCCTATCTATCATATACATCTTATGGAACAAAATACAACAAGACTAAGGATCTTAAACTGTAATTCAAGATTACATCATCACGACCATCAAATGAATTCAAGGTATAAACAGTAGTGAAACATCAGAGGAAAAGAAAAACATTCGTAATCAAAGTACATGATTGCAATACATATTTCTTCCAAGAACTTACATCAGCCACTTTCTCTGGGGGAACATCTTTCTCATACGGACACCCCAAAACACAGGAAACATACCTGCAAAAAGGTATTCTCGTAACATTCCAAATATATTGAAAACATTATACCCTTGGGGTACATATTTGTTTGGGCAAAAATAAACCTGTCAAATTGATAGACAGGGATACAAGGACTGTACGGTATACCAGTACACTGCCATATGCTTTTTGAAAGATACGTGTTGCAAATATTTTATCCAGTGTTCCGGCATATTGGGTATAAAAAATGTAACAAGTTTCCTTATCATTTGTATCATTTTACCTAAAATCTACCAATAAATTCATTCACAAATGATGTCTCCCTTATGAACAAGCCATGTTTACTTTTGTATGAAGAAAACAGGACCTGCATGTACAATCAATGCCAATCAGTGTCAAACAGTTTAGCTACCAATACACTGCAATACATATCACATTAGATACCTGTATCACAATATGATGCAATACAATTTTTTGTCCAAAACAGAGCTGAAAGGATACAGCATCAATATTTTTAACCAATGTATGACAGTAAAACTATGAACAGTATCTTGCATACTGATTGTTAAAAATCTAAATGAGTCATAAAAAAAACCCATATAGAAATGTTAACACAACGAAAAACAACACCCATTAAACTGACTTTTGTCAACTGGAGAGTGAGTGAGTGAGTATGGTTTTACGCCACCTTTAGCAATATTCCAGCAATATCACGGCGGGGACACAAGAAATGGGCTTCACACATTGTACCCATGTCGGGAATTGAACCTGGGTCTTTGGCGTGACGAGCGAACGCTTTAACCACTAGGCTACCCGACCACCCCTCGTCACCTGAAGAAATGAAACTAATAACAAAAATGAGTTTGCATAATACTTACCCTCTGACAGGAATGTTGTGTTTCTTGGCCGCCACTGTGACCTCCTCAAACCTCTGAAGACTTTCAGCAATGGAACAATTGATGTTCTTCCTGTTTGTAAGACATGAAACATAGTCAGCTTCAGGCAAAAGAAATAACAGAAACGTCAGTGGAGTTATGTCCCCTACTGATTATTATGGATGGTACTGTTCCAAGTAAAATCATCTGTATTACTAATATATATATGGTGAAATGATTGATTTTATTATTCACTGAATACAATAAATAATACATCTACTGCTGAATTGTTATTGTATTCATGAATAAATATTTATATCCGTTACCCTTTATTCGTGTTGTGCATCGTATTCGCCTCAGTGTTTTCATTGCAGCCCTAATATTATGAATACAAAACAATTCAGCAGTGGATGTATTATTTATTGTATTCAGTGAATAATAAAATCAATCATTTCACCATGATGACAGTTTTAATTTATAATTATAATATTATACATTTATATACCGCACTTATCCAGGTAGTATCTGCTCAAATGCGACAGTAAGCAGTGACCACATCAAATGAAATATATAAAAGAGTTAAAATCGTAAATATTTGATTCTAGTGACCAAGAATAACGAATTCAGTTCATGAAGGGACATGGTTGGATTCACTGAATAGACAAACGATCGCATCCAAAAAGTGAGAGAGATATGACAATCGGTACAGGTAATCAACATAAAAATTGTGAGAATATTCAGGAAATACCTAACGTAACCACCACCCCCTGGTCATAAAATGGACTTGTCCAACATTGCCAAGGTCGGCCTGTATTCAGGGAGTCATCATTATTTAAATATGGGTAAATATTTTTAAAGATTGTACATTTTATTAACATCCTTAGTGAGGCTGGACAGAATGTTGATATCTCATAAAGAACTAAACTTAGTAAAATCTAAATATTTTTTACATTTGTATACTTATCCTGCATTACTCCTTAATGCATTCACTGCTTACTTACGACAACTAGAAGGACAGCGCTGGGAAGGTCCTGGGTGAAGAAATAAAGTTGTTGTTCTCAAGTCCCAATCAGTGGCCTTCCGTCGCTGTCCTGTGACCTTGATGACACCTAAGGTCATCTTCACATCACTGCCTGTCGCCCAAGCTCTTAGAAAAACATACTTTTGAGGTTTCTGAAGCCAAAGTGGGGAGGCAAGTCTAACGACGGGTGGGCCTTAAGCGTAGTAATGCAGGATAAGTATACAAATGTAAAAAATATTTAGATTTTACTAAATTTTTTACTTATCCTGCATTACTCCTTAATGCATCTGTATCGGACGGTTTGGAGGTGGGTCAACCTTCAGAATACAGAAACCTCAATAATTCACACCCTGCAATACGACCCCATTTGGTCGATAAACCGTGAAGCGGAAAAGTTCAGACAAAAACGCCATTACGGTAGGGTTGTTCAAAAATCAAAAACATTGAACATAGGAATTAAAGAGAAATTCCCTATACACGCTTAGTAATAAAGAAAATAATAGCTATTCAGCTAATTCTTTACTTACTGCGTCATAGAGCCGTCGCTGACAAACAAGATTGTCTAATATTCTTCCACTGGTGGCGACTGAGTGACTGCACATGGAAGTTGACTGGCTCTGTATAGGGCGAGTTCATTATTTGCGTCAGTGGTTGGCAATCTGCAGGATAACAACCAGAGGGCCAAACTTCGAACGTCTTTGACATCCTCGAGAGTCACAACGCGAAGGTTATGACTAACGAAAATATGTGTCGAATCTCCAGAAATATCCTTCCGTGATTGTTCCAAAACCACAATTGCCGTGTTGAGCCCTGGTAAGGCTGACACCTTGAGATCTTGAGGGTAATTCGCTCTCGGCGAGTTCCGTTTGATGATCTCGTAGGCCTGAAGGATTACTGCGCGTAACCATATAGATATGGTGTTTGCGATTATGCGACTAACTTCTGTCGTGGACGAACCACGCCTTGTCTTGGAGCGTCGAATGAAAACTCGAACTGCTCGCACCGAGCCCAGGAGAACTTCACCATGTACGATTCCCACAATAGTCGATATCGGTGGGATGGTGAAGAACGGTCGGGTTGGCCTGGTAGTAGATTTTAGCAATAAAATCCCAGCATAACCCTAGATGTCCTGTTCCGTGCGTCCCATGCTCAAAACGGATCCGGGTTGAGTCGACCACATGTAGTTCGCTCACCCGTACCGCCATTGCTAATGCCAAGAGAAACCATTGTTTCCTTGGTGATGTCCAAGCTCCTCACAGCGATAGCCCGTTCGCGGAGCTCTCTATACTATACCGAGAGTGTAACGAAGGTGTCACGCGCTGGGAAGGAGCTTGAAAATGAGGATGCAATGAGGGGCTCGAAGGGGGCCCTCGCAAACCTCGAAGTACCACGTTCAAGTCCCAATCAGGTGGCTGGAACTTGGCCTTCTGATCCTCAAACCTGAATGAGCATAATATGGCCTGTAGTTCCGTGACCTTAATCACACTGTGATTTTCCGGAAACGGCCAACACTAAGATAATTGCAGCCAATTACGTAGTAATGGTGCTACCTTCCAAGTGTTTTTGGGTACGCAATGTAGGAGGTATTCCTCTAGGAATTGTGACGCAATCGTAGGGTCTTGATTCTTTTCTTCCCTGTAAAAAGTCTCAAGTGATCCCCACTTGTCATCGTCGTCTCTGGGAGAGTAACGATGAACTAAAGCTATAGCTTTGCTGCCCGTGTCGAAATAACCCTTCGCACTTAAACGCCTTTTAAAGACGAACCATGCGTGCAGACGTTGGGTGAGGCAATTTTCTGTTGAGGGTGGATGAGTAGGTTGGACCACTGTGAGAGGGGAAGTGAATCGTTTTAGATTTTTCCGAGCTTGACGAACTACCCTCTCGCCGGTTACCATGGTGCGACCAAAGGAGAGATCGAGATACCTTGTCTCCTTGATCCCCTGTAGCACCTTGGGAAGTAAAAGTGGTGGCAGAAGAGTGTTAGTTCTTTGCCCTTCCCAAGTGATACTGAACTCGTCCACCGCCCAAGTCTGCGGATCCGGCAACGGGGAGATATACGTCATGAGTTGGTGGCCTAGGCAAGTAATAAACAAGTCAATGTTTGGTTGCCTGAATTCCTGAAGCAGTAACTGGAATGCTTCTGTGAGAAATTTCCACTCAGTGGGAGCCACCCTGTCTGGACGTGATAAAGTATCGGCCAGTATGTTTCTACATCCGGGGATGTGCTGAACTATGAACCTTAGTCACAGCCGATCCACTAGATGGAAGAAATCTGAATGTCCTTAGAAGTGGAGAGTGGGAGTGTGTTGTTCCCCGATTGCACAGGCACCACACCGCAGTGCTGTTGTCTGTGGATATAGCGAGTCGGGCTAACTGTAGTTGATTCTGCCAATGTGATATAGCCAGAATTAAAGCTTCCAACTCCAAGTTGTTTATGTGCCACTTCCATTGTGCGCCGGGCCATAGCCCTGAGCTTATCTGGTCTTGTAAGTGAAGACTCCACCCCTGAAAGGGGACGTCCACAAACAGGTGTGTATTCGGGGAAAATCCGAATAAACAGACTCCGCAGACATTCATCGCCACAAATTGAGGCTCTAGCTTAGTTGGTAGAGTGATGGCCTTGAGTGGATCCTGACTCCTGATGTAAGGGTTCAGGAAAAAAATTGAATTGGTCGCTGTTGTAAGCGGCCCATGCTAGTTAACTCCTGTGCCGAGGTGATTAACCCTAGCAACACTTGCCACTGGCGAAGTGTGTGTGGTTGGTGTAGAGTAGATGACAAAAGAAGTAGAAACTTGTGCCATCTGTCCCTCGGTACAGATAGGATATCCTGGTCTGTCTTAAACAGGTCTCCTATGAACTGAAGTCAATAGGAAGGAGAATACTCCCGACTTCGCCTCGTTGATTGTCTATCCCAGTTATTGACATGTGTTGATGATACAGTAGATCGCCCTCCATCTACGACTCGAACCAAGTGTTCGTCACGTGTAGATAGTTATTGGCTTCATTACTCCTGTAAATAGCCATAAGTGTCACTGACATGTCAAATGGGAAATACTACCATTGGTAGTGAACCCCAATGAACTGGACCTGAAAAGTCTACGGTTGGGATGGATAGTCGAGACTGATGAAGAATCAAACGTTCGTTGAACACAGAGATTGTGGATCATTCTCATCTTGTCTGGGTCCTTCATGAGTACCAGGTAGGTGTGAGGATAAAACCCCGGAGTAAAGACTGGGTTGTGAACCCACTCTACAGCTCTTCTTACCAACAGTATGTCTATGTTGGATTTTCCCAATCAAACTGTGGTCAACGGTGGGGTTAACTCTACCCTTATACGGACACCATGATATAGTGCGATAAGTACGAAATCGTCCTTGAGACTTGTCTCTGCCACTCCCTTTCTCAGTAAAGGAATGCTGGTCTTCCCTGAGAAACGTGCGTCTAGGCTTATAATTCCCTGACTTGGACTTTCCAAGCTTTTTGGGAACTTGACGTGCGTGTCTGCGATCTGTTCGTTGAACAGGGGAGTAGATGATCAAGGTTGACGTAATAGACTGCCCTTGAAACCAGCATCTCAGTTGGAAACGCTATAAAGTCTTGGGTGTAACGGTAATCACCGTCAGAACGGTCTCAAGATGAATTTTCCTGTGGTCAAACTGACGCTGTAGGAAAAACACCATAGTTTGGAAGTGATCTAATCAGATAGGGTTATCCTCTAATAGATTCTGATCCACTGCAAACATTGACGATATTGGTCGCTTAAATCACGGAGCAAATGTGAGTTTTGGAGAAGGCTTCCTCCAATGACCTCGTGGTGTCCCTCTTATTTACCCTGTTATCAGGGGAGGGCGTTACTGACACGAGATGGTCTGCTTCCCAATCGGGTACATGTGCTAAGCTGATCATGTGCCGGTTACGTAACCGAGTACACTGTAAGCCTTGGGCTAACGTCATTGTAGAGACCTTGATTGATACGCAGACGCTGCGCTCAGCGCAGGTCTGGAATGTTGGAACAGCGCTAAGCTGATCGTGCGTCACTGGCGTCATAGGAGCGCTTGGGTATCAGTCAGACGCTGCGCTCGGCGCAGGTCTATGCTGGATATGTTGGAACAGCGCTAAGCTGATCGTGCGTTACTGGCGTGATAGGAGCGCTTGGGTATCAGTCAGACGCTGCGCTCGGCGCAGGTCTATGCTGGATATGTTGGAACAGCGCTAAGCTGATCGTGCGCCGATTGCGTAATAGAAGTGCTTTGGTTGTAGTCAAGTGCTGCGCTCGGCGCAGATAAATCAGACACAAAGCTCAAAAGTATTGACTGGATCAAGGCTTGTGTCTAATCTACCCCCATCATAGCATCTCGATACGCTGGTGCTGTCGCCGACGTCACAGATTATCATACATGTATCTGGAAGTGTCCGGCGGCTGAAAAAATAGGAGCAGTTACGATACTCACAAAATCCTCCGGTATTGTTGATTTCGGTGGATGGTGTACTTCTGCAATCACAGTCGTCATAATACCTGCCGATAATAACGGTTGGGTGGTAATGACAGAACCATATGTCATTCGCTATTCTGCGATAGTGACATTCCTCTCGTCTCACGACGGAATAACTGCAAAATATGATTGTGAGTAATCTGCTTTTATATAGTAAACTCGTTGGATTAGAGATTTACATAAAAATTACATTTTGAATTTTGGCGAGCACATCTACGTGCATGCCTATGACCGTGGATAAAGAGCTTTGGGCGATTATTCCACGACAATATGTACACCGAGCAAACATAATTATGTTACGCAATTAAACCATTGAAGAAATGGTACTGGAAGAATGCCGTAGAATTGAACAGTAATCTATCGGCAAAAATACTAATTGCAAGGGTATACAATATTTTTATATACGCAATTCAATGTAAACCAAGGCTATTTACATTTAGAGATTGGAGAGCACATCCGCGCGCAAACCAACCAATCGTGGATGATAATCTTGTAAGGTTTTTTCCACGACAATTAGTAAAATGCTCAAAGGTATGTTACGCAATGAAACCCTTGTTGATGAGATAATACTGGAAGAGTGCCGAAGAATTTGAACACTAATCTATCGGCAAATTTATGAGTTGCAAGGATATACAATATTTTTGTATGCGCAACCCAATGTAAACCAAGGGTATTTATATTTTCATTTAGGGTTTGGAGAGCACATCTGCGCGCAAACCAAACAACGTGGATGATAATCTTTGTAAGATTTTTCCCACGACAATTAATACCACGCTCAATCATAAGTTACACAATTACATATATATATGTATATTCAATGTCTGTACATATAGAGTAGGGAAAGGGCCACCTAAGTTGGATAACTTTTGCCCAATCCCGTTGACCATATATGTCAATAAAATATGTTTAAATTAAACACAATTACGCCATTGTTGATGAGGCGGTACTGGAAGAATGCCATAGAATTGAACAATAATCTATCGGCAAAAACTACGAGTTGCAAGAGTATACAATAGTTCATATACGCAACTCAATGTAAAGCCAAAAATACCAACAAAAAACTATTTAATCGCATAAACATAGGTACGCAATAAAAGAATTGTTGATGAAGCGGGACTGGAAGAAAGCCGTAGATTTGATATTAATCTATCGGCAACCATATTTTTAACGAGTTGAAAAAGTATACAATAATTTTAGTATACGCAACTCACTGTTACGCCAAAGCTAGTAATATTTAAGAACATAAGAATATGTTATACATACGTAGCTGAGAATTGTAAACAATATGACTACCTTGGCAGGCAAACGATTGTAACACAATTCAAAATGGCGGCGAACAACAATATTTTGGCGGGAAAAAAGACAAGCGTCTTTTCACGCCTAATTAATTCACATAAAACTACACAACATGGTGAAAGTAATATGAAAAGAATACATCACCCATCGCAGATCAATTTTTAAGATTGTAGACAAACTGAAGGTCTAAAATTAATCCAAAAGGAGAGCTCCGCTTGGACACGTCCTAGCTGTGCTGCGACAAGCAGTGATGTGAAGATGACCTTAGGTGTCATCAAGGTCACAGGACAGCGACGGAAGGCCACTGATTGGGACTTGAGAACAACAACTTTATTTCTTCACCCAGGACCTTCCCAGCGCTGTCCTTCTAGTTGTCGTAAGTAAGCAGTGAATGCATTAAGGAGTAATGCAGGATAAGTAAAAAATAAGTCGTTTATTGTCCAATAAAACACTGCACGAATAACAACTCCCACTCATCGTTTATTTTGCTTCAAGAACAGTCTACCCATATGACCCAGCTGGAGTTATGTCTAACATGTCTCATAGTAGGTGTGAACCAAAGTGTAATTTGATATTATTTTCTTCATGTATATGGCAAAGTTCGCTCCCCTTGACCAGGAACCACATGGTGCTTATGCCTTCAGCATGTACAAGCATGTAGGAGTAAAACCAGTTACCATTCCTTCCCAAGGTTAGAATCAGTATCACCGATAAATTTAGAAATTAACTGTACTTTTAACTATAAACATAATCTATTATCTTAAAACATATGGCAAAACTTGTTTGATATGAATGACTTGCACAAGAAAGCATGGGAGGAAATTGAATTTTGATGGTGAAAGATAAATGTGGTGCAGCGATAGAACTAACATTTTAGTCTACTAGTTCTTAAAATGATAACATATACATGTATACTTAAACATGGCAAATTTCTACTCGTAATTATGATACCTTAACTATTGAGCAGTTTGGCAAGGAATATAGGATAAGTGCCATTTTCAAGCACTGTGATGTGTCCAATATCCATTCCTAAGAGACCACAACATACTCATTAAAGTCCAGCAATAGGACCATTGTCTGTAAATATTCGCATTTGAACCAGACAATCCAGTGAATGACATCAGGACCATCAATCCACCCAATTGAAATACGATGACATGCATCAGCCAAATCAGCGAGTCTGACAACCTGATCTTGTCAGGCGCCTCTTACGACAGGCATGGGTTGCTGAAGATATGTTGTCATGTAGAAGCAGGACCTGCACATGATTTTAGCGAGCAGATTTTACCAGAGGGTTACTTACTTGCTGAAAGACTCAGAGGCAGCGCCAAATATGGCCACTTCATTAGCCTTTGCTGACATCTGTATAACAAGAAATAGAACATAAGGGCTAAACTACTGAGCAATCATGTGGAATATCTAGGATATCCTAAGAGTTAATAAAGATTTAAACATGCTTTTCAATGTGGAGCTATGTTAACTGTAGACATGATAAAAGTGTTAAATTGAATTTCGAAGAGTGTGTAGTGTGAGGTTTCAAACACCAAATTTAGCAGTCAAATTCAGAGGTAACAAAGGTCTACAGTGAAGACAAAATGTTTTTCTTCATTCTACTATGACAAAACTAAGCACAAAGTTTTTGCTGTTAATAGAAGATAACTTAACATGTTAAGCGGCATGGGATTTGTCCAAAAAAGAAGAAGTTTTGTGTGGTTTGCAGATTTGAATAAAGGAAGCACCAGTAATCAAAGCATGTCACACCATACACTCAAAAAGTTTTTTAACTTGAATGTATACAGGCACTGAAAGTGTGTAGGAAAGAAATTATAAAGTTGGCAGCCCTCAATAAAATGAAGTAAACCACGCAAGGTTAGTTCCATACCACACACCACTTATATTGTGACACAATAGATATGTCACTGATACAGAAGACTGTAATAGACTCTTAGTATACACTTTCTATTGTGTTTTCTGCCCCCTTAGTATTACCTTACACATATGTAGGACTCAGGTCTATGGTAGGACTCTGATCCGTGGCTGATTCCACAAATAGGGCAGATATTGGCGAATACTCATATCCATGTCAGATTCCACATATGGGTATTGGCGCATACTCAGATCTATGCCAGATTATCATATAACATTAATAATTGGCAATTTCCATAGCGCTAAACGTTGTATACATGCATATATAGCAGCAGACTATAAATGATCAATGTTGTGATCTTTCTAAATGATTTTTATCCTTTCCCTTTGGAACAACATTGTCAGGTGGAAGGATTTCGTATCAGAACCTTTCTTAAAAACGTTCCCCAAAGGTCAATTATAGAAATAATTTTCTAAGACCTTCAGCACCATCCCCCCATTTGCCGTAGTTATAAAATCCTGAATATTTTCATGCTTCCCCACTTCAGATTCAGAACCTTTTCACAAGGAACTTCTGGGATGTTTTTTTAAAATCATTTAGATATCTTTCTTCTGTCTTCTTCATACTGGTTTCTTCATTTTCTATGGTGTCCAGCTCAATTGTTTTCGACTGATCACTGTTTCTATCAGTAATGGATGTTAAAGTTACATGACATCATCACAGGCAAGGAGTCGTGACATCATTGCAAGCATGACATCATATAACAATTGAACTGAATGCCCATTCAGGGATAAGACATCATTGCAATAATGACATCATACTACAATGAGAGTGACAATGAGTGTTATTATGGGAGAAACATCAAATGCAAAGCAGGTCGTAGATTTGTACCTCACAGATGAAACCCAGAAGTTTTGTGTATCAAGATGTATGGTGCTGACCAACCAAGAAACATCATCGGGGTGAATCTGAGATTTGAACCAATGACCCTTGGAACCAGGGCCCAGTTGCATTAGGAGATCAAAGCCCATGGGAAACAAGAAATCAATTTGTGCGATCCAACCCTTAAGTGGCGCATTAGTGTTTTATTGTACTTTTGAACGTGAAACATGTTTCTTCTTTAAAATTAAATTAAATGGAATCTTTGGTCATATTTGCATATTTTCTGTATCTAAGCCTAGGGCTTAATTTTTGATGAAATATTCATTTCTTAAAAGGTGATAAAACCAATTATAGGGCCCTTAGCTTGACTATGTGCATTCCAGGTCCACATGAACGATAGTACTGATAACAAAAGGCAGTATGTCAGGTACTCACAGCAGCATCAAAACCCTTGAGGTTTGGCGTGAGTACAGTGTAGACCACGCCATCATGCCTGTGTATTCCCTCCATCACTTCAGAGTGATCAGCCATCTACAGAGGAAACATTAGCTTCAAACAAATGGACATTGCAGCTAGGCATCATCTAACTTTTGAAACAAATACCTGTCCTAGAAGGGTACAAGATGAAAAACATTTGGTTAATCAAAGACCTTATATCCATATATATATATATATATATATATATATATATATATATATATATGTACTGTATTCAATATCCTAAGCACCACCTCCAAGATGTGTATTCCGAGAATAAAATCAGCTGTTTATGTGTTTTGAAGCCTCAGTTTAAAGTTTCCAATGGGGGTGCAGGGTTGGGTATCCCCCTTTTTTAAATTAACTAAACATTCATACATTCGGATTTACAAACATATTACATCGCTTTATATATTTGGTAATGTTTTCAAACAAATGCAAATTGCTTTGTGCATGATTTGGGTTGCTAGCATTTATCTAGCATCCACATATCAATTTATGATCACTAATACACAGATCCTCACCAAAACAGCTATTTCTTTGCCTTTTTATCATAACAAATCCTCATCAATATTTGTTCAGTTATTTCACTATCTCTTTCTTATGAATATTGGATGAAATTCTTTTTGTCAGATATATAATGTTCTTTTTCACACAGATCAGTCTCCAGGAAATGTCAAACATTATACATTACTGACAGTTGTCAATGACCTCATATGGACAGTGTTCCCTGCTTTAGTGGATTAAAGCTAACATGAAAAAACTAATAAAATCCTAGACAAGTTTTTTATATTTGTATACTTATCCTGCATTATTCCTTAATGCATTTACTGCATGTTCTTGACAGAAAGAAGAGCTGTTAGAGGTCTTGCTGAAGAAGTTGTTCCAAATGGATGTGTGGCTAATCCCATCACACAGCTCCCACGTGACAAAGGAAAGAGAGGACGTCACATACATCACATTACTGCTAGATTGTAACATCTTAAGACATCTAGGAAGGCAGCTCTGTGACAGGTGAGCCACTTTAGACAGAGTAATGCAGGATAAGTATAGCAAGGATTTTACTAGATTTTTTAACTTATCCTGCATTACTCCTCAATGCATCTGTAGATGTGATCTTTAATAAACTCTCCACAGACTCCCACCAAGGAGCAACAGCTATGTCCGGGATCAAGTGACCATACCTGTCAGCGGGGAAGGAGAGAGTCAGGTATGTGTGATGTCCTTGTATCATTGCAGTAATAAAAATTAAACAGTGTTTAAAGTCTAGAACTTACGTACTGAGCCAATGTGTTCAGCATGTAACATTCTAGTCTGGGGTGATGCACCGGAGACGTCGAAATGTTGGCTCTGGACATGTGGAAGCGTCAGCAGCACCTTGTGGCAATGACCTGCTGAGCAACCACAAAAGGGCCGACATCTCGCAGGTAGTGTCTGGTGAACGCCAGCAGCAGCCTTTCATAATGGCACGGGTGGAGCCGTTGAGAAGCGCCATGGTAGAGGTGTCCGCCCGGATCTCATGCTGATTGTTGGCTCAGAGAATCCAGTCCCGCAGCCTCATAAGCTGGAGTATGATGACGCAAAGCCATAGGGCGATCATGTTGCGGCTGACTCACACCTGCAATATCGTAGATACCAGGGTGAAAAAGCAGCAACCTTGTCCCCGAAGATTCTTGGAGCATCGAATGAAGCATCGCAGCACCTGCACCAGACATGGTAGAAGTTCCTGTTCATCTTCAACCCCCACTAGCAGTATGGTGAAGGATCTATCGGGCTGTCCTGGGAGTTGAATCTTGGCTATGAAGTCCCAGCACAGCCCCAGATGAACATCTCCATGCACTCTGCGCTCAAATCTAACACGGGTGATGTAGTTCACTAACACATGCCGCTGTTGCCAGAGCCAAGAGGAAGACGGTCGACTTGGTGAGGTTGTAGTAAGACACTAAGTGGAGTGGCTCAAAGGGCGTGCCTCTCAGCAGGGTAATTACCACATTCAGATCCCACGCCGGGGGTCTGAACTTGTCCTTCTGGTCTACCAGACGAAAGGAGAGTAACAAAGCTTGGAGTTGCAGAATCTTGGTGATCTTTCAAACTATCAAAAGTGCCAAGACGGAGTTAAGGGCCACAAGGTAAGTTGCGATGGTTCTGTCCTTAAGAATACACTTGTGGCACAAGTGAAGAATTGGGGTGACTAAGAGGCAGGGTCCTGGTGCTTCTCCTTGCAGAGACTCTCAAAGGAGCGCCACTTGTCATCATAAAGGCCCCTGGTAGAAGGACTGTGCGCAAATGTGATTGCCTTCGCCGCCCTTGCTGAGTGACCCTTGGCACTTCATAGAGCTCTTCATAGATGGACCAGCCATGAAGATGTAGCCTGTCTGGAGTCGGGAGGGGACGTTTGCTGTGACTGTGAGGGTGGATCAGCAGGTTTGGCCAATCTTGTAGTTGGACATGGTCGAACAACTGATGCCTAGGCATCGATGTAAGGGTAGGGGAGGTCGAAGCTTCATGCAGTAGATATGGCTGAATATATAGAAAACTTTGGTCTGTAAGATCGTACCGAACAAAGTAAGGTGGTCATTTCTATCCCCTGGTCATATGGGCACTCCCGATCTTATATCGAGATGATGATGAAAGGAGGTGCTTCGTTAGATCATGCTGAATGTATAAAATTCTTTTGTCTGAAAGATCATACCAATGAAAGTAAGGTGATCGTTTCCATCACCTGGGCACCGTATAAGCGATCCCATTCTTATACCAAGGGACGATGAGGCGTGGTGTCTCATAACAGCGCATGTTGGCATCAAATGTCTACTGTAGTTAGTGACTCGATCACATTGATGTACAGCAACAGGCATCTGGTCGAGTGGTTACAGCATTACGTACAAGTAAGCATGCAAACCAATCCTGTGTTGTGAACGATGATCTTGAGGTGGGTACCCCGAAGCATATGCCGATTCTGTCAAATGTTGAATCGGTCGTGAAGTTGTGATCTTCAACTTTGGTGCAGATTATGTTTACCAGAAAAGAGAGGAAGGGAAAATCTTCGAGAGTACTATCGTCCTCTCCATGGAATCGTTCAGCCAACATTGATAGACAAGGAGAATGGGTGGGACCTTTCACAGAACCCTCACCACGAGGCCAGGCGCTGCCAAGAGCTTGAGGAAATGTTGGACCTCTGTTGTATATAAAAACCATTTGCATGTCCAGCGACCGCTCTGAGGGTGTGAGGATTGATGGCCCTGGGGATGTAATCAAGTGGTCTCATAAGCCTGTAGAATGAGAGCATGTAACCACAGGGAGATTGTGTTACGGCTAACTTCTGTCTGCGAGGTCATCCCGGGTGTGTGTTGTGTCTGCCATCTCCAAAGCATGGATGGGATCATCGTCCTTCCTCAACCGAGGAACCTTGAAGTTTAACGGTGTCTTGTTAATTCACACACGGGCCAGCTTCTGCTGGAACATGGACTGCATCATCTGCAACCAGGAGGGATCCATGAGGCCAATCTCTGGGTCGGTGGCGCCAAGGATGGTCATAGAATCCTGGAGGAGTACTGTCGTCTCAGGAGTAGATATCAACGTTGATAGAATGACGCAGGAAGGCTGATCTTAGAGGGGTAGACGCTGGTATTTCCAGCCCGAAGAAGATGTAGTTGCTAAGGCAAATGGAGATGAAGTAGTCCCAGAGGAATAAGACATCTTCATATTAGCTTGTCCACAAGCTTACTGTGAACTGCACTACAAAGAAACCCTCAGGTACTTGGAGAAGGCTCTGTGAGAGAGGTGTATGCAAATGCTACATTTGTAGCTGTTGAACATAATATTTATCGGAGCAGTCCAGACACAAAGGGTGGGGGTCCCAGCCATTTGTTACCGAGGCACGGACTACAGGACATAAATCTGCAATGAAGCAGAAGGTGTAATCACGATGCGTACCCATCATGATTGTGTATGTATGTAATATTCTAAATCCCAGAACACAGAGGTTAAGGGATAAGATTACGCAAAAAAGGTGAATAAAACACTTGGATAACACTTCGGGAAGCAGAGGTGCAACAAAGTATAAGAAGTATCAAGCAACACAAAGACTACAAATGCATGACATGCAAAAACTTGACCACGAAGTGAATTCAAAATGGCAATTGGAACAAAATGCCTGATATTTACCGTGACCAAAAGTCACCATTCAGCGTTATATATTAATGCAATGGTAAAAATCATATGTAATATATGAAGACACAAACCATAGGAAGGATACAATTTACACAAAACAATAGTGTTATAATAACACACAAAGGATTGTAATGGATAAAGCTGACAGCTCAAAACTGGTGTCTGTACTCTCTGAGTGACAGCAGTAATGAGATGATACGTGACTTCATCACTTCTGTGGTCACGCGGGAGTTGTGTGATGTGATTAGCCACACAACCAGTTGGAACAACGTCTTCTTCAGCAAGACCTCATACGGCGCTTCTTTCTGTCAAGAACAAGCTGTAAATGCATTAACGAGTAGTGCAGGATAAGTTAAAAATTATCATGCATTTGAAGCAGATAAAGCAAAGCCTTCAAACTTTTTCTTAAATATTTTGACTTACATGGAGATATCAAATGTTGTTATCAGTTTTCAAAATTAAGGTGGGTTATGGGTCCTTGAGGTCTCTTACAGTGTTTGAATCCAGGGACCTTGTATACCTAGAATATTAACATAAGGGTCATGACAACAATGGAGAAGGACCCCTTAACATCCATGGACCTAGTATCATGATAAGGCTCCCATATGTTAACATTTCCATTCAAATATACTAAAGAAACATATCAAACCTGAGGAACCCATTTGGGAGATACAAAACTTGTAACTTCGATCACCGGAAGTCCAGCTTCTGACAAACGATTGACAAACTCAATCTTGGTTTCAGTTGGAACAATTGTCTGTAAAAATAAGAAAGCATGTGTTTGTTTTTATATGATAAAATAACACATACAGCTACAGATGATCATCAGTTACTAGTTAAGTGGTCTGCTACTAATCTGAAGTAGAAGAATTTAATTTCGCCAAGTAAGCATGGTAAGCCTATCGATAATCATGAAAATATCTAAAACTTGTCCATATATATATATATACAAAAATACACAAAAATTTACCAAAAATAAAGATCAATAACATTAAGGACGCCTTTACTTTAATGTTTAATTTTAAACATTGTTATACTAGATATATACATGTAATATATGAACATTAAAAACTCTTAAGATGCTTCATGAAAATGTGTTGCCCTTTACAAAAATGTGTTGCTGTTTTCATTTCTAAAGTATAGACAAAGTTGTTGCCATTTTCAGAGGCAAATCATGGAAATTATACCATAAAAATTGTGACATTTCCAACATCATGATTACCTTATTTATACTTGACATGATATACATTTGTACTCTTATCACTGACCTGTTGAACATTTCAACCTTACACTGAACACATCTTGTAACATGTGTAAGCTAACTTAACACATGTTCATAATCAGTGATAGAAACTAACAGTTTTAGTCCAATAGTCCTCATAATGATAACATATAACACAACCCTTATAAAGGGCAAATTTCTACTAGTCCTCATCATGCTCATAATACCTTGACTATTTGGCAGTTTAACTGGCAAGGACTGTAGGACTAGTGCCAATTTCTAACGCTGATAATGATAAAAGATAAGACAGATTGAACATGTAGAAACTGAAACATCTCCATATTTTTATAATACATTTTCAAACCTTTTCATTTTGAAGACCATCTCTCGGCCCAACCTCAACTATTTTAACAAAACTTGGTAACCCAGCAATCTGAAGAAAAAAATAACATGGTACAAGTTATCAGTTTTTAATTTCCACCAAGCATACTGACATTGCTGATTTCAGCTGCATACATAATTGCATTTTAAGCATTCTGATGGCAAGATATTATATTTTTATTTGTGCATAACAACTACGAATTCATGAGACCGTTTGGTAAACTACAGTCTTGACTTCATTTTTTATTTCACATCATGTTCTATATCAATTATACCGTTAACCAGCACTATTATCTACGATATACACATTATATAATGTGTTTATACAAAATATACAACCACCTCTGGCAAGAAAGACTAAAAAGTGGACATACTTTTTTCGGATTTCAATTAACTTGAAAGTTGATAAAAAATTATTCAGATACCTTAAGCACATCTAACCCTAAGGATTGTATTTAGGGGCACCTAACCCTAAGGAATACATCATAAAGGGTTGTTTGACTGGCAATAGGTGCCCAACCATCAGGATCAAAGAGGCATGCAAGATCTGTGAAGCACAAGCCACAGCCAGCAGCCTGAGCCAATTGGGGCCATAAGCTCATCCCGTAAACAGCATTGTTGCCCTGTTTTGTCATGTAAGTTACTGAATTACTAAACTAACTTATGATTTGATAAAACTTTATGACATCGAGGTGCTTTGGAATGAACACTGTAGCTTCATACTTCAGTTTTTGTCAATGCTAAAGAACACTGTGACAGGGTCAAAATAGCTATCGCAACTTCAGATGAGTATCAGGTGATCCTCTGTATACGTCTTTGGTTTACGTTTCTACGTGAAAATAAATACAAACAAAGAGGAAATAAATTATCCCTGGCAAGTTTTCTTTTCCATGGGCATCTTCATTTGAAATATAAAGTCAACTAAAGCTCGATTTGTTGACCAAAGTGGCTAGCGTACGCCCCGTAAACTGCAATTTACACGAACTGCTGATGACAACAAAGAAACTCACTGAAACCTGAGTTAAATGTCTACACATGTGTTTCCAAATCCCTAAAGTTGATTTGACAGAAAATCGACCTGCGATGGAGGCCGCCATGTTGGCAGAACGCAGCAAATAATTCGCAGACGAGAATCTTTTAATTGGCCAAAAATCATACAGGCAAACACAAATTCTGAGTACAATTCAGCACTTTTTCATCATAACAGAAAACAACATATTTCAAATATCGACTGGCAATAGTTTTTCTCAGCTCCATTCAAAAGTTTACTGAGCAGTGTTTAAAATAGCAACTTCAAAGTGAAACGAAAGAACCCCTGCCAGATTCGCAGTTGAAACAAAGGACGTTCCAAAGGAAGTGTGTGTGTGTGTGTGTGTGTGTGTGTGTGTGTGTGTGTGTGTGTGTGTGTGTGTGTGTGTGTGTGTGTGTGTGTGTGTGTGTGTGTGTGTGTGTGTGTGTGTATTCGTTCTACATAATAATACATTTGCGTATATTTCAGCAGGGGTGTACTTGGGTGTTTCTATTTGTAAGTCATGGGTGACTACTGAAATATGTATTATATAAATATTTGTGAATACTTACGCGAACTGTTCTTGTTCTTCAGCAGAAGTGTTACATGCATGCTACTTTCATTGGACATAAATAAAACGGTTATATGATGTAATTGCATCCTATGGGACTTTATTTATTTTCACTCTCAATAGTTATGCTGATTGCGTACTATACAGCTGTTGTTTCACGTTGCACTTATCAGTTTCCAGCTATTAGTTTGGACAGCTGTCCAGTACCACACCCAGAACGTTCTATGCTGAGTTAAAAAATAGGAGGGCTGGAGATAACGTGTGTGTGTGTTCGTGTGTGTGTGTGTGTGTGTGTGTGTGTGTGTGTGTGTGTGTGTGTGTGTGTGTGTGTGTGTGTATACACACATATATAGCGAGAGAAATTCTATGCTAAGTTAAAGAATAGGAGGGTTGGAGATAACGTGTGTGTGTGTGTTTTAGGTGAGGGGTGGACCCCCCTCGTTAATGGCACTTTATAAAAATTAATACAAGAACACAATTATGTAGGTAAAACTAGGTAAAACTTTATGAATATTTGGTATCATTCTCCGTGACTTTCCCCATCACTTCTTGACTTTGTCCAGGCGTTCCTGGGCGTTAATTAGTTGGACATGAAATATTGTTAAACTGATTTATATCGCACTGGCATTTTCCCGCTTTTACTCAGGGTAGCTATTTCGGTATGGCCTAACACACTGTTTGTCATCAAATCATCACAACCACTATCATACTTTATGGTAGTATTCGTTTTTGTTTTATTTTAATTATTGTTATTGTTTTTATAATTGTTGTTGTTACATTTCTGATACATATATAGTTAAAACAATATGGGTACGAATATAACTCTTGTGACAAGATCGCAGGTATTGATAGGAATTTTTATTTATTATATAAATACGCGTAAATATTGTTAAAGCTTGTACACTTTATCATCGTCCTTAAAGAGGCTGTTCATAATGTTGATATCTCATATAAGAAACGACTCGTGGTCGTTGTTTTATAGTACAATAAAACACCGCAGGGAGAATAAACCGCGAGGGGGGCAGCGGTGTTTTATTGTAAGATAAACAACGACCACGAGACATTTGATTCTTAAATATATCAACAAAACATAAAACATCTAAATGATACAAAGAGGCTAAATGAAAGTAATATAAATATACCAAAAGTTTGGAACATATGGCACTTTTATTTATCTTGCATAGGAATACAGTTTTACGTGTGGGAATACAACGCCAAAAGTTTATAATTTTTATGTGTGAGAGGAATGTGATAACAACTATTTCAAATTCATTCCTGTGATCAGAGACCATATACAGGTATAAGGTCTAAGCTGTGAGTCACGAGACAGTCCCTGAGGCTATAATATATCGTCTAACGTTTGGTATTATCCGCAAAGAAAAGGAGAAAATATTTGTATCAATATTCTACGATGTCTAAAGATAAACTTCCTAAGAAGACTGTCGACACCTTCACATAATGACTGTATCATGTTCCCCTTCCTTCTTTTCGATTTACAGTTCGTTTCAAGTTCTTTTCCCTACCGTGATGCGTTCAACTTTTTGTAACAACTTTCACTCCGCGTGATACAGAATATGGCTGCCTCCTTGCAAAAGTAGAACTTTCGGCATCTGCTTACGTGTAGAAGTGTCAGCTGTTACAAGTTGCGCAGCGCTTTTTGAATATCCATTTTCTGATTGTGTCAACAACCAAGATAAGACATAAGTATGACTTTTAACGCATTTGTAGAAATAACTCCTTTGGGGCGCTCTTAAAAACCCTCACCTGGCGAGAAATTCAATGGATGCCGGTTGATGTGGGTCGCTCCACTCGTCCGAGTTTCAGATACCTATCCTTTCTCTTACTCATGTTTAATACACACTAAATACCACAGTGTGTATTCAAAATAGTTATAGTTTGTTTATTCATACAATGTAAACATTTAAAAGTCTGTCAACTAGAGCTTTGCATAACATGCCGTGCCATGTGGATGTTTGGTGACGTCACATGGAAGCTTGACAATGACGTCAGAGCAAGATTATTTTGTGCCCATTCTCGATCAAAACAAACTTGTCATATTCTTATCACATAAGGATATACTTATTTATTTCTCAAAAAAAGACGTAATAATTCCTGCCCTTGAGAAATGAAGGTCTTTGTTAAGATTTTCTCTTGGATTTGCCAAATCAAAACTTTGAATAGTCAGTGAAAAGTTTTGGGGGTTGGTTTTTGGTAGTTTGTTTGAAATTGAAAGTTAAGCATATCTATATTTTGTATTGATAATCTGTTACTACAAATATTCCATTTTTTTTTATGATGAAGGCGATAACCGTAATATTAACACTTGAGGACCATGACGTTACTTATTAATAATGTTAATCATCCATAAATGTCAATCTAAAGTTGTATCATTCTTTAGAACATCAGTCATGATTTGAGCTTCATTATTTTGAACTGCAACTTTCTTCATGTTTTGTTCAGGCATTTTTTTTAACTCATAAATGTCTTGCATTTAGTATGAAGTATTTTTTATATATTTTGTTTCTAAGATTGATTTATGAGTTAGATATGACTGAATGCAGTCTCAGTGCACACCTACGTTATTTTTAAAAATGATCAATATTCATTTAAACATGTTGAAGACTTTAATTTTATTCTGTTATGTTCTGTTGTGTAAAATGTTTGCGACTCAAGCATGTCAAGTATTTGATGGGTTATTGATTTATTTAACAGTTACCAGTTTTATGTTAATTTCTTATGACAAGTTACAGTATTAACAATCTATTCAGTGCATTGAAATCATAATTGAAAAGACACTGTCTTTCTCACTGAAAAATTCTGCCCCGTGTTCAGAGCCCTGTCATGTTTGGGCAGGACATTTAAATGAGATATTATAAATTCCTGATATTAATTCAATCCAAGCAATTCTACCATTCTGCTATCATGGCTATCATTGGCATGATTGGCAAACTAACAACAAATGTGGATGAAGGAAATTCTACTTTTAATATATATGTAGCATACTGACAGTGTACACGACGCAGTGTTTCAAGTAGTGTTGAGAATCATTTTAGATTTCATCCCTGCTATAATATAAATGAATGGGATTCTTATGAAATGGAAATGTTATTTCATTGTGACCTTGAAATGTACACTTTATTGGTACACCATCTGAAGGCCCATGGATAGGCAAAGGGCTATTGACCCCTGAAAACATTTGGTCCTATGTCCACATTTGACCAAAAATGATGTTTTTACATTTTCTTTCCAAATGGGTGCTTTTCTAACATTGTTGTAAATTTCATGAAGCCCCTGTTGCTGGAAATTAGTTTTTCAGTGATTCTGTGTCCTAAAACCCATAAGTTACTTAATACAAGAATGTTCTATGTCCATGTCAATGTGTCCAATCAAATTCTTGACACAGGTCATGTGACAAGATAGGACCCCCATAGTTCCAAATCAATTGGAGATAGCACCATTTGGTTATCATTTATCAACTGTCGAATGTGAACATTTGGAGTGAATTTTGTGATCTGTCAGTGATGACTTCATTACAATAAGCTGTCTCAAGTATGTGATCTCTCCTTTGAGTTGAAATTTTGGTCAAGAATAATCAGAATGTGCCAGTTGGATTTACTGATGGAAATAGAAAAGTATGGATCTGAAGACAAATGTTCTAACTTCTTTGGTACTCTTACAAAAAAATAACATATATCTGTAAATGAGAAGATGGATGATTCCCTTTGCTTTGAAAACACGTAAATAAATTTGTATTTGTTTGTTTCATGTGAAATAAATGCATGTTGTTTTTTAGGTTAATCTTATACAGAACTTCAAATTTTTAAATATCATTTACTCAAAACCTGTAAAAGTGGAGATAGGACATTATGGTTCTTGGACAACTAATTTTCTTTGTAATATCATAATATGTAGGGCTTCACATCGGTACTCAAAGTGTTCGTAGTTATATAAATCTTGTTTACTGATGATATAGAAGAATGACATCAAAAAGTGAGAGAAAATGTTGAAAATGGCTTAATATAAGTTGTGCCACTGTCACGAGTTGTACATGTGGTTTGTTTTTTTGCATCCCTTGTTAGGTTTTATATCATGAGCACAAGGTTTTTATACCACATGAGCACAGGTTTTTATTCCACATGTACCCCAAGTACACGTTTTAATCTGCCATTGTAAAAGAATTTAGACAAATTAAAATATTGATACAAATCAGCTGTTCAATTGAGCTGAGGTTAACTTGTGCTATGTCACATAACTTCCATTGACTCGACAAAGGCGTACATGCAGCTTTTTCTTCGAAGCGGGGTATAAGGGATTTATTCTCCCGCTCAAAAATCCATCTGTAGCTCGTCTTCTTTGTAGTGGGGCATAAGAAAAGTATTCTCCTGCTGAGAAATTTATTTCCCTCTCAGATGAAATACATTGTAAGTTGTAGCAGTATCATGTGGGGTAACATGTTGTATTATGCATCCCGCATTAGGTTTTTACCACGAGACTCTGACTTGTGGTTAATTATCAAAACAAGGGATGCTTAATATCACATGTTCCCCTCGTGATACTGCTACAACAAATTTTTCTTAGTATTTTTACCGACATGTTTTAATCTGCCATTGTAAAGGAATTAAAACAAGTTCAAAAGATCTCATTCTGGAGGTATGATAATGCCATTTGTCACCAGCAAAATCACTGAATAAGTGTCACCTTTGCCCAGTAATTCTGATACATGGCATTTCATTTTCACTGGTAACCAGACACGCAAGTATTCACATCAATCTGAAGCTTTGAGATTTTTATCCAAAATCTATGAGTATTGCCACCTTTTTCAGCTGAAGCTCCCAATCTTTATTCATCGTCACTCCACGATGTCAGAGGCTGACAAACAAGCACCCATCAACGACAATGAAGTTGATGACCGAGATGAAGAGGTGAGAGATGAGAACCAGGAGAATGAAGAAGGAGGCGGTGATGGTGATGGTGATGGTGATGGTCAAGCTAAGAGGGGGAACCGCAGGCAACGGAGGAACCCAGGAAATCGTCGAAGGAGAAGAAACACTAATGATGAGCCTGAGGGACCCATTGAGCCTATCGAGATCGGGAAAGGTAAAGCTCTACAAAGTGATAACATGTTTCTGTTAAATGGTGTGCTGGTATTTCTAACATGTTGCCATGTTCAGTTGAAGTTTAGTATCATGCTAAACAGTTTACATTGACATACCCTAGAAACTATAAAGAAATGCATCCTCAAAGCAGTTATGAATTTCGCAAAAAAATTGAATTCTCATTGCTAAAAAAATTGAGCTAACATGGCTAATGTCAAGTCCCTTATTCTGATATACTCCTAAAAGGGCTTCAGTACCAAAACAGTGGTATGTGCTTTTTGTACTTACTTCATTACTTGTTTTAGGTCATATTCAGCCTCAGACAGAAAGGATCAAGGTCCTTCTGGATGTTCAGGAGGTTACCATTTTCTTGTTATTTCTTGCAAACATTATAGGAAATTAAGAATTTCACAAGATTTCATTTTGTCTTTTTCTGCTATGCGGGGTTAGAAATTTGAAAGACAAATGGTATTGGGACATTGTAATGATATCAACTTTAGTTATAGAATTCTATATCAGTACCCAAGTTTAAAGAAATCTGAGCATTTTTGGATGAAAATCAGTAGGGATCAGCTCTTGGTAGACTTGTAGTAAGAATATTTCAAAGCCAAATATCAGCCATAACAAGGTTTGTAGCATGTAGGACAATGTGTACTTCAACAAGGAATGTGGTGAAGTGAAGTGAATTGAATTGGGGGCTACTTTGATGTTTCGTAAAATGTCATATCATCAATACAACATCATTACACCGGTCATCAGCCGCTAATTAAAACATGGAATTTCATCAGTGCTCCTTCGTCATGTTCATATATAAGTGTGGAAGATACAATTGCTTCCTTTTGGTTCTTTCAACATTCCTCTATGGATTTCTTACAACGCTAGCACCGTGCATCAGAATGGGTTTCAACTTCAATATCATGCTCAGATGTCACTCATTGTAAATGTTTGTACATTTGTGATTTAGATCCATTGGAAAAACAATTTACTGTTTTGTCCTGACACTTTTGTTAAGTATCAACACAATCTGACTTGTGTTCTAGCTGTCAATTCAAGCTAGAAATTGTTTCTTTTTTGTTCTTTTGTATCTCCTTTGAAACTGCAAGGTAATAAAGCCTGAAGCTTACAAGTCCAGTTTAATGATATTGAGTTACTGGTGTTGAAACTTTGCTGACCAAATTATCAGGCGATAAGAATGGTCACTTAGGCCAATTTAGAAATGTACAAATTGATTTGTTGTCTGGTGCCCCAAACTTCAGGTGAGCTGCTGTTCCTCATTGTCTGCTTTATTCATGTCAAGTATTAATGTTGCACTGATGATGCCATCTTGCATCAGCCTTCAAATGTCCATAAGGGTTCTTCAACAGGCTTCATTTGCTGATACTCTGCCTCTTCACTGTGAGGAAACATGGTGTCAATATTGTGAACATTTAACACATATACTTTACTTTTCTGATTTCTTAACATTTGTGTACTAGATCTTGGTTGTTGTCACCGGCCCTTTGTCATTCATTCCTGGAATCAAATAAACATTCCAGTATTAATGTTTGCATTGGATTGGTTAATAAGTCTGAGTGACCTACAACATACTTAGCTGTGTATATATCAATGTTTTGTTGCTGTTTCATGAATTGTCTATCATCTCTGATTCACATGTTAAACTTTCCAAATTCCCATGTCACTTATGTTTACCAACTGTGAATCATATGCTTCACATGCCATGTATACATGATTCCCTTTTCACCAAGTGTTTTTCCACCCTAACAGGTACTGGTCAAGGTAGGGATCATTTTTTTGTGTGGTGATGAGGCATCTTTAGTTAGTCTTTCTTTCCTCTTCTTTCTGTACAACATTAATTGCATCTTTCATTATGCATTCTTACTATGGTTACCAGCGTATTTGGTTGGTTGTGGCTTGTAATCAACTAAAATGAACATCTGGATACATACAAACTTGGTTCGCTGGTCCATGCAATTGCAATGTGTCACATTGAATTTCATATTGAATTAGTCGTTTGTTTTTATTCTGAAATATTTTTGACAGTTTTCTGTTTTATTCAGTCTTTGTTGGTTATTGTTGTGATTTCTGGCAGTAGTCAGATAAGAAATCACAGATCAAAATTTAATATGCTTTGTTAATAAACACGGTAAACTCTAGCTGTAGCAGTAATCGACAAGTTTACCCAAATGTGCTTAAAAGAAATTCTAGTTGTAATAAAAGCAATATGGGCGGAGGCCTGGGCCATCATCAAATACTCCAGGTTTAGTTTTCCCAGAAATGCACAATAGTGTTTCTCCACATTTGTACCAGAAATATATAAAAAAATTAATATAAAGTATATTTAAGTAAACAAAATTGAATGTTGCATGCAATGTGTGACAATTGCATATGAAGAGACTATATATAACAATACTTCGGGTAAAATGCCAGTATTCTCGTCCATGTAGTTACATCAGTCATAATACCCTTACCTGTCCATTATGTGTCCTTTTTATATGCACTTGCTGTTGTAACTGAATCCTTCATTAATGTCAGGATCAGGCAGAACACTTCACTTTCACTTTACCACATTCAGTTTAGCTGAGGATATTAAAGCTATGCAGTCATACACTGCGTCGTAGCAATAATGCTAATCTCAAATTGGATTAACAACGTGATAAGACAAACAAACTTTACCTTAACAATGCTCAGATAATTCTCATACATACGTATAAGCTTTATGTACTGTTATCAGGTTATTCAACTCTTAATGTTATCATAGTAAACTTGGAAACATTTCCAAAGACTTGGATAGTATCATAAGTATTTTTATATGGATCTTCAACATATGCAAGTATGTGTAAACACATCATCATTGATTTACCGATATGTCTGTAATACATTATGTTATTTTGCACATGGTTATCTCAACCAGATATTCTTTATTCAATAATGGCACATGCTGAATCAGGTTTTCTATTTCAATGATATATGAAAGTGAAGAAGTATTGGGTTATACTGGGCTGCATGTGTAGGGTGTCCTATTGTAGTTTGTAGTCTAACATATTATATTGGCCTTAGTTTCATATTTCTTAGATCATATTGATTACCTAGGATCTTGCATATTCTAATAGATTATCTGATTGGGAAAACATGGAGAAAAATTAACAGCAATGATTCTATAGACCATTGATCTGTTATTGAATTATTTGTAATCCTTACTTTTAATGCAAATTGCTCCAATTCCAAATTTATGTTCAATTGTAGATTATGTTTTGAGAAATGTACAACTCTGGCCTAACTTGTATTGGTTGCTCACAGAAAACATATGGTGTTAACCCAGATCCCCTTTGTTGCCATAGTTACACGATAAGCGTTGAACAGTTTTCTATGTTACCAGCAGTATCACAAATTTATGACTTGTCTGACTTTACATACTTGTTGCATTGCCATCTCTGATGATTGTATTATAATAGTAAAATATTATAAAACAGAATGACAATAAAATTAATTCTAGTAATAAAATATTTTAGCTCTGGTGGCTTTGAAACGATTGAACAGCTGAGCTGTAAAGAAATAATAACAGGTCAAAATATTGTCTTAAAATATTTTTTCAGGATCTTTTTGTTGTATGTTTTACTGAAGTAACTTCAGATTTCCTTCTTTTTTTTGGCTTCTGAAAATTGTCACATTGACCTTCAAAAACTTTAACAAAAGTAATATATTTGTAGCTAATAAACATGTCTACATACCTCTGTATACACTAGAATGAAAGATGACACTAGTCCTTGACCATATCAATATCATTTCAAGATTTTAATTATCAACTAGCTACTATAAGTTCTCACCTAGCTACGATATGTTCATAGTCACGTTCAGTTAATGCATGCCTCTGAAGTTGCATTTAGAAATACCAAAACATGTATCAACAGTTCATTTAAACTGATTTAGGAGATGAAGATTTCCCCCAAGTTGCATCAATTTGATCAAACAAGTATTTTTCATACCTTTTGTTTTGTGGTATTAATCATACAGGCAGGTCTGTATGGCATGTTTCAATGTTGTTACAGAGGTGACTAAATGGAGCATTAGGAAACAGGTGTGGGACTTTATTGAGGATCACAACCTGGCTAACTTCCCCCGACCGGTGCACCACAGGATACCAAATTTCAAGGTAACTAACTGGTTTAGGAAAATCTGACATGGCTCTTCTCCTTCAAAGCATGGTCATAACACTGTATACTGTAATATGATGTGCTAATAATAGTGAAAAATGAAGCGGAGTATTGGGCATCAAGACATGATTACTGAATGTTTGAAATGTATTCTTCATTCCTGTTTAAAATTAAAGGGGATCCTTTATGGTTTGTATCAAAAGTTTTGTTGGTTTCCTGTTACAGTATTTGAATTGAGGAGGAACCCACTAAAGTTTTAAGTTATTTCTAATCCTGACACTACACCTTGCAATTTCCTTCATTTCAATACACAACAGAGCCCCAAACCTGCCTCTTTTACATTGGGGGTGCCTGTTGCTATTGGTCACCAACCAATTAGTTATCTGTCCCTGATCCGTCATTTTCCTTATCATACAGGGAATATACACATGCATGTGTTATAGGAAATTATGGCCTTAACATTAACCTTATTTTACGTTCTATGTGAACAAAACTTGACATATATCTTCTTTGAGGGTTATGACATTATATTTTGCAGTGATTATTTAATTCGCAGTATGCATTTTTGGCACACAGCCTACTACTATGCCATTCTCAGGCTCAGGCTTCCCACCACCTTCCCAGGATGCAATACTCAGCATGCTCATCCGAGCCAACTCCATCCTTGGATTGGTGCTATGGCTTATGACATTCAGATAGAGGGGAGATGAAAAGATGTTTCAACAACCATGGATGGTGGCCACTCCGGTTAACCTTAACTGATTTGTTGCCAGTACTAAACAGTTGGAGTCTAATACTGCTGATTGTCAGAGTAACATTGTTTCCTGTAGGTGGCAGATTAAAGACTTGTTTTGAGAGAACTAAGATCAATATTAAATGATGTATCGACATGTCAGTAGCTTCCATTGACGTCTTTAGGTATTTACAGTTCCTGTGGGATGAGCTCATGCTGGGAAGCACTGAGGAGAGTTAAACATGTGTTAAAGGCAACAGTGCAAGTTGATTGTGTGATCTTGTTCATTCAGTACAGTCATGAACATACCAGTGGACAGCACTCTAGAATATTGTGGTAGTAGCTGGGTTTTTTAGTGACGCTTCACTTTGTGTGTGCAATTCTTTCCAACTGAAACATGGTTGTCACTGAGCGTCATTCGATACAAGACACATTACAGCCGAAATGGTTATGGTGATCACAAGAACCCAAGAAATGAGTTCCTTGGACTGAATTTTCACACAAGTTGGTCATTGATGGCAGTGGAATCCACCTCCAACTGTTACAACTCATACCAGAACAGCGTTCAATGATGGCAGAAGAAAGTAGATAACTTGCACCTGATATAGAAGTTACTTCAAGATATAATGTTTGGTTAGCACTAAGGTTCTGGTCTCCACAGACAACACAACAGTGGCACACAACATAAACATTATGGGATCAAGGCAATTGAGTCACCTACTGAACAATGTGAAAGAAAGAAAGAAACTCTCAGACATGGATAAGGCTTAACATAATAATAAAAGAATCGGTTCTCAGGCAATGGCTTTTGAAAATACAGTGCAGCAGGCGTTTTTTTTGTTGTTGTTGTTCAAACTAGTATCATCATAATTGTATTCCCTGATGAGTAAAATACTGGAGTACAGTACATGTATTTGATTACCATTGGACTTTGAATATTTAAGGCTATTCTTGTTTTTTTTTAAATGGAAATAAAAACGAAATGTGCTGCACACTTTATGATGATGCAGGTGGTGCCTGAGAACAAAGATTTTTATTTTTGTAGCCTAATCAATGTATTTTTTTTAAACTAACCTGGTCGACTTTGATTCCTATTACAAAGAAAGCATGCAGGAGACCCATGTTTTAGAGATTCTAGCTTGTGAAAGACAAATGCCCCACAGGAGATGCATCTTGCGTCAACTCATGTTCTCATGTGCATCTACAAGATTGTAATTATACTAGAGTACAGTCATCCCTCACAATAATGCCCTTACTGATACTGCACATTAAAATTCTTTAAGTGACATTATTGGGTGTTTGTGAATGAAATCACCTATAGATTGGGAGAAAACATATGGCGATACAATACCTGTATTCATGGTATTTGATGCTGGTGTTTATATTTTGTAGGGAGCAGTAAATGCTGCAGAGAAGGTGAAAGAACTTGAAGAGTTCCAGGTGGCCAAGGTTGTGAAGGTTAACCCTGACAAGCCTCAGCAGGATGCCAGATTCTTCACACTGGAGGTAGGGCATCAATTTATGTTTCATGTCTAAAAGTCAGAAGATGAAGTGAATTTCGCAAGGATTGAATTTTCAGCATGGGTCATTGCACACATCTGGGAGGAAGATCTTGCTTTAGAGATAGATGCAGGTAGTGTAATTGACTAGACATTAACATTTACCAAGGTAGGCAGCAGTTAGCTGTAAGACTCTCACTAATTGACAGCAAGTTGCAGTATTTGTAGTGGACAGTATTTCACCTCATATGAAAACCCCTGCGAGCTGTTTACATAGGATGAAGATTTACCACACACTTGGAATCGATGCTCATGATATAAATCACTGGATTGTCTGCTCCAGACTTGATTATTTAGCTGGAATATTGCCGAGTGCGGCATTAAACAACAGATAAACAAACCACAAACTTGCACCAACTTATGCTGGTCGTATTAGGCAAATGGACCATGTGGTCAGACTCGGTGACTTTGTTTATAGGATGTCATCATACTTTGATGATGTTGATTCAAACCTTTTTCAAATAGTAGGAATATTGCTGAGTATGGTAGTTAAACAACAAACAATTGGCCTATAATCAATTCCCTCACTTGTGCACTTTCATTCTCATCCAACATCCCATACCCTCGCTCAATTGCCCTACAGTCAATACTCTTTCCTACACTCATGCACCTACAATCTATTCTCTCATTCACACACCCTACATCCCATACCACCACTCAGTTGCTCTACAATCCATACACTCTCCCTGCAACTCATACTCTCATTTGCACCCCCTACAACTGATGATGTGTTTCAGTCGGAAAAGACACTGCTTGTGCCTACCCCAAGGCTTAGAGAAGGACTGTTCAACAAGATCACTCCTCCAGCTGACTGCAACAAGGAGATCCTGAGAACATGCTCTACCTCACAGGTTCGTGGTCATGGAACATATCAAGGGCCAAGCCATTTTTAGTGCCACTTTTGAGATATCTGTGAAAAGAAAATTAAAGTAAAAAAAATGTCAGCAGAAAGAAAGTTCATGGCTAGTTTCACTAACTAACAATTGAACCATTTACTCATTGTCATTAACCTTGTAAACCAAAATGTTCCCTGTAAGTAATTTTTCAGAAACCATTCCAACCATATCACGGTGGTTCTTGTTTTGCCTATTTGTCGTGTTGATAAATTTGATACGTTACCACTTGTAAAAAAATGCTGTAGGGCAAATTACACCCCAGTGCAGTGTAGGTACTTGGGCAGGAAGAACAGTGGACATGTTATGTTCTGCTGAAATGAACAATGATGACACTGCTTATGATTTTCTTTTGTAGGGAGTTCGTGAATACAGCACACCCATTGGACTTGATGATGCTGTAAAAATCGATCTGGTCATCATTGGCTCTGTAGGAGTGTCCAGGGAAGGTGAGATTTTGGGTGGTGGGCACCAAAGACAGGCAGTATTTGTTGCCTAGTGATTGAACCATTTGCTAATGCTTACCGCACACAAATAGGTACTGTGAAAAAAGCTGTGGGATCTGTTGCCCACCTTGTTTAAATTATATTTGTATTTGAGGTAGGGGGCTGAAATTGGGAGTGAGTTAAAGTGACATAACTTACCTTTGATATTAACATCAACTGCATACCAGCTGCATAACAAATTTTGAAAGAATGGGTGCCAAACACATGTGGCAAGATATAGCTTTGCAATATGGACTTGCCTTGGAAATAAAATAGTCAGTTTGAACCAGGCATATGATTTCACTACTGCAATAGGATCTGTTCTGTTTGCTTGAACTACTTAAGTGACCTTTATGTTAGTAAATGAAGACAAAAAGGAGAAATTGAATTACACTTTTGGTTGTATTGAATAGTATCTCACTGGTTTGGTTCTGTTGCTAGGTTACCGTATTGGAAAAGGAGAAGGATTTGCTGACCTGGAGTTTGCAATGATGAAAACGATGGGTGCTGTGAATGAGAATACAGTTGTGGTTACCACAGTTCATGACCACCAAGTTATCAGCATACCTGAGCGCCTTGTGGAGGAACACGATCTGACAGTTGACTACATTGTAACACCAACAGAGATCATCAAGACAAACTGCACCAAACCAAAGCCAACTGGCATCATTTGGTCCAAACTTGATCGTGACAAGCTGAATCGAGTTCCCGTGTTGAAACTTCTGAGGAAGAGGGAGCGTGAACTGGGCACCGATGTTAGGCTGAAGGTAGTCTACTTTCGTGATTTATTTCCCCATTCCTGAATTCCTACATTTTTATGTGGTTGATTGTGTGTCTGTGTACTATGCTGGCATGGATCATATCTCATTCTGTGAGCCACTGGTTTGTCTCTTCTTGACTTAGTAATACATACTGCATTGATATAGCTGCAATATTGCTGACATCAGCATAAAACAGCATAAAACAGCATTCACTCACTCACTCACTCACTCATTCACAAATGTAGAAATTTTACCTTATGTTTATCTGATCTCATTTCCAAAAAGGTGCTGGGATCCTGGAGAATGGAAAAAACCCATCTTACTCAAGGGCACCCTGTTCCAGAACCATGTGTTCAAGCTGGTTGACTTGTCAATCTCTAATTTTTGCATAAATGAGCTGGTTGGGAACTTTTTATTCTGTGCATCGTAATCCGAGCCATCCTTGAACTTCCTTCTTTGCAGACTTCCACTCAACCCTTCACAGAGTTTGTCTTCCATGCCGTTAAGTCTACTGGCCTGTGCGAAAAAGAAAGCTCTTCTTCCTCTTCATCAAAGTCGGCTCCACCCACTCATATCTTCGCGAATGTGATTACATCTACGAAGCCCTTACCATCATCATCCGTGAAGGGGTCAACAAAGTCAACTTCCACAGCGCAGAAGAAAGATACATGCAGCCTCAGACATTCGTGAACCCCCTAGCATCACGGCAGGCTCAGTCATCCATGCAGGACCAGTCCTTCATGCAGCGGCAGACAGGCACAGATTCAGGCCTTCGTTCAGCACCCTACCTTCACAGTTCACAGAGCCTCCAGCGTTCACCCAGCCTGCGTTCTTCCCGCAGGGTTCATTTCCTACATCGTTCTCTAATATGGACCTAGTAGCCAGTGTTATATAACAAGTACTACTAGCTATGCAACAGCATCAAGTAATGAATAAGCCCTGTGCGCAGCATACTCATCAACGTCAATTTCTGATGAGACCTCTCAGATTTCTCACCATTGTTCCACGGGTCCAATCCCCAATACATCTTAGTTCCTTCAAGAAGAGGATGTGTTGGTGCCAAGATTAGAAAAGTCATCACATTTGGAGGAATATCCCTCTATTTATGAAGACCATGAATTAATGCTTGGATTACAGATAGTCTCCCCATGTCTTTGTCTGGGATTCTTCCCCTACTGATACCTATCAGGATACTTTAACCATCCCACCGATTAAACCAATCTCCCAAGTTGCAAAGAACCTAGATGCTTCCTTTGCTATAACTTCAAGGAACCAGGGACTACCAACTCTTTCATTCAATGCTGAGAAGTTGCCCATGCATGTCATGTCACCATTTCTCCAAGCTCCGGGAGTTTATAAGGACTTGACTATAATGTTGTACTTGAAGAGCAGAACTTATAGGGTAAAAAATAAATAGCTAGGTCAGCAGGATACCACCACTAGACTTTCCCTTCTTAGGCCTTGCTATGTCTCGTAGTGTCAAGATAGACATAGTCCAGGACTCAAAGGATCAGATGTTAATCAAGTCAATTCAGACCATAAACTCTATCATAGTTTTTGTATGAACAATCTATGCAGAGAACTTGGCTCAAGAGTCTGTTTTCTGGAATCTAGAAAGCCAAAAACAAGCCATCCACATGTTCCAGAGAAGGCAAGATGTCTGCCTGTCATAGACCACGTGACCATGTTGTGGCCGAGGACCCATTGGTTCCCGTGCCAATCAATGAAGACTGGGAACTTCCACCCCCAACCGCGTTTAAGTACAACAATAGTTGGTAGGTTGGCCAAATACTGGAAGAAGGGGGATATCCTGGAAGACACCTTTGTATCGAACATTCTCAGGAAGGATACTCCCTCCCTCCCTCCCTCTCTCTCTATCTCTCTCTATCTCTCTCTCTCTCTCTATCTATATATTAGCAGAAGACATTGAAGACTTGTCATTATGCACAGTCAGGGCATTATGTATCAGTCTCCAGAAGACAAGGAATGCTTCATCAGAAGTCTCCAGAACAACTATCTCCTTCAGGATAAGAGCTGTTATTCTCAGAGCCTATAGGGCAGCAGGGTTAGTCCCTCCTTCAGCATACAACCCTCACAAAGTCAGAGCTATGGCTTCCTTCATGGTAACTGCTTCATCCCGACCATTATGGAAGGTTGTTTCTGGAGATCTGACACCGTCTTTGTAAATCATTATCTCAGAGATATCACCACAGAAGATATACCAACCAGAAGATAGATTACAATACACTGGCCCTCAATCACATAGACTTGTTACTGTTCCATAACCACTGACAGAGAGTCCATGCTCCCCTGTTTTACTTTGTAATTCAAACATGAGTGATAACGATTGTGTTACATTTATATCCTTCTCTTGACACTAAAATGAGGGAAATGGGAATTAATTTTTATCAAAGTCTTACCATGCTTACCAAATCCACAAAATCATTATATTTGCTCCCTTTCACCAAAAAGGATGTGGTGCCTCACCTGGGCAGAAGAAGAACCAATGCAATGTCTTACCTCCTTCCCATAGGGTTTACTGAACAGGTCACAACTGAATCACACATACTGGTGAACCCACCACCAACTGTCAGAAACAAGTATTTAGTATGAGTCAGGAAAAGGTAAAATATGTATGTTTTAGGGTATAAATACAATTATGCTAATCCTGACTCATACGCTAGAGTACCCTCCCAACCCTTCCCTCTCTCCCCAGATGTGTTTCAGACCGTTAAGTAAGAAAATGGAGAGAGTGACAAGTCAACTGGCTTGGTCATGTTGTTCCAGTGCGCATTTTGAGGTACGGCAGTGCGTTGAGATGGGTTTTTTTCTGTTCTCCGGGAACACAGCACAGGAAGTTTCCATTACCATTTTCAGAAATGAGATAAGCTATCAGTATATGAGTCAGGATAAGCATAAATGATATTTTTACCCTCAAAAATACATTTCCTTATTTGACAGTGCCTTTTTCTCATGAAGACCATAGCCTGTGTAACAAACCCATTTTTTTATTCAGCGGTTGTGATGTAGCTAGGCATCTGTGCTATAGCTAAAATGTAGGTAGACATAATTTAGCTAGAATTTTGTATCATGCATCTTCCTTCCATGCCCAGCAAAAGACATTAAAAGATGGTACTTGTTGTAATGTAATTGGCGCTCTGCATTAAGGGGCTAAAACAAGGATTGGTCGGCTCGGAGTCAGTATATTTGTGTCTGAGTGGGGTATTCATGTTAAACTGTGGCATGGTATCTCAGTGGGCTAGCACTATTAAATCAGAATTAGTCCAGACTGATACAAACAGCCGCACACCCACATGTGCATACATGTCGCTATGTGGCCGTGCAGTAATCTTGTACGCGATGTTAAACAACATTTCACCTCACCATCCCTCCATATGTCTAGAATTTTATAATGTGCATCCATAATATGTTGTATAGGTAGAATGCTGCAACAGGCAGTCATGATGTGGCTAGAATTTTGTAACAGGCTGCCATAATGTGGCTAAAGCCCATTGGGTATCAGGGCTAAAACAGGTTAGACAATGAACATTGCTTGTAAGGAAGTTGATGTCATCCACTAGTTTGACCACAACTTGATTATTTAGATACTGCTGCAAAGTAGCAAGAATGTTGCTGACTGCAGTATAAGACAAATAAATTAAGGATATAGCTTGGAATTATCTTCAATCATTAAAAGGTTAATGTTTGTGTGCAGGGTCAGGAAGAAGATGATGGTGAAGACTATATCAATGATGAACCAGAGGAAGAAAAACGCGAAAATGATGAGAACTCCTACCGGCGCCGTGGTCCACCAAGACGTCGCTACCGCAACAACTACCGCCGCCCAAGGCGCAGGAGCAATGACGTCAGGAATTCTGAATCAGAAGAGCAGACAGAGGAAGGAGAAGGTCAAGGCCAGGGTCAGGGTCAGGGCCAGGGTCAGGGAAGGCGTCCTCGTAATTCAGCCCGAAGAGGTCGTATTAATCGAAGATCACATGATCCATCCATCTATGTAGGTGGGCTACCTCGGTCACTGCGTGTGAGTGAGTTCAAGGAGAAGATACACGATCGTAGTGTTCAACCTCTGCGTGTTGTATGGCATGGTGGCAGTGGCCATGCTTTCCTCCAGTTTTCTAACATCGATGTAGCAGAAGAAGCCATTCAAGCTTTGAAAGACCTTGACCTTGGAGGGCGTCAAATTAAGGTGGAGCTCGCAAGGAGTAATCGTGGTGATGAGGACAGTAGAAATGAAAACGAAGCTGATGGCGAAGTGAATGATGCAGGCAGCGACTAAAACGATTGATTGTATGTACAGTCGATTCTTTACTCATGTAACTGTTAATGGATCCAAGTTTTAACCACTTGGACAGAATGTCCTTTTAATATGTTGAATTCAACTGAAGCCTCATTGAAATATTTTAGATATTGTATCAGAAAAAATAGCTTGTCATATGTCAGTGAGGTATTTCAGAAAACTTTCCTTTTGTTGAAAAGAGCCAGTACCACGATCCTTGACAGTTATATTTTCAAAGAAAGGTCGTTTTAACACTCTTGAAAGAGGATCTGTTCTCTTTATTTTAGATTATGGGCAAAGGTTTGATATCTTGTTTAGTGAGTTCTAATGAATTGTTTAGCACTGAAGGCTTATGTAGTTTGATGATAAGGTTGAAACCTGAAGTTGGACAATAAGATCAAACATCTAGAAAGCTTCACTCAGATGCATTGCAGAAACATGATATATTCTTCACTTAATGTTTTCTAGGGTTTATGCCTTTGGAAGGATGGAGAGAAAAGTGTATTATGTTATTTCCTGTTATGTTTTTTCTTGCATTTGTTGAAGCAGAAAATCTAGCTGTTGCATGATTCTATTTGTCGGTTTCAGGGTTTGGCCTGTGTACAATATATTGCATATCATATGTTGCAACATGTTAATGGACATTTTTCAGTTTGTAGAATTTAAAATATTATAGTTACCATACCATGATTACATAAACTCAGGTAAGAGTTTTACTTGTATGTCGTTAATTGCAGATATTGCCATTAACGAAGTCACTGCATAATTTGCACACATACTATTTGCGTGTCATGAAGTTACGCTTTATGCAAACTTAGAAAATTATACAATATTTTGTCAACTCCATTCCAGCAATATGTACTTCATTTCTTTATAACTTAGTAATTTCATGAGCAGACTCTTTGCTGACAGGAATTTTTTTAAGAAATGGTTAAAATATTCACGTGTTTATAAGGTTAATATGTTTACCTCTCAAACAAGATTTTGATGACTTCATTCTAAATGGCCTGATCTACATGACACTGATGCACAATATATGCTAGTTTTTGATGGTTCTGGGTCAATATGCATCCTGGTTATGTGAGTGTGTCTGGTTTGTTATAAATAAATGCAGTACAATGAGAGTGTGGAGATGTTTGGAATCTGATCATTTAGCAATGAATGAATTTCATAATTTATGTTGTTGTTAAACAGTTGTGCTTGTTTACATATTCGTCATGGATATGCCAGCACATTATTTGATTGTTTGTTATTACATTACTAAACGTGTGTTCATAGGCATTTTGTTCCCCCTGACCACATGAATGTCATAGAATCACTTATCTATAGACATGATAGAGGCCAAAAAGAAAATTTGTTTTAGGTGCCTCTGAAGGATTTTCTTACAGTATTTGGATGTATTGTTGAATGTGTTTAGTTCCAATCCTTTTCAAAACAGGGTTGTTGTTTATATGTTCAGTTTGTGAGATAATGTTTGTAAATGAGACAAATGAAATGTAAAAATGTTAAAATTTTGAATTAACATGTTTCAAAATTTTATTGCCAAGATATTTTTTGAGAAAGGTAGCATTCAAACATGCACAGGAACTGCTCAATTACTGTTTACATATCCCAATAAACCTACAGAATTTTATATTTGGAAAAATCCATTGATATTTTAAATATCTTTTTCTCTTAAAAAGGATTATCGAAAACTTGTATGTCTAATAAAATCAGTGCTGATGCCTTCATCATTATTTACAAAATAATTATGAAATAAGAGTAAAATGTTTCACAATGGTATATGGGTCACTTACAGTTTATTACCTTTTTTCTGTTCACTCATGGAAACCTGTCATGAAGTCTCGAATGTCACTGTCATCACTTAGAAATTATTGGTCACAAGTTTGCCATAATATGGAAGAAATTATGTCAAGGTTGTTTATCATATTTGTTTTAAATATGACCAATTGTCTTCCACTGTAAAAACATCTGTTTGCCTTAATCAATGAAAATTAATTTAGTATTTTTCAACCTCACTTTTCAATGCAGTGCATTTTTCTCTAAGTAGGGTGATAGATGGAGGCTTCAAGTTACATTTTTTCACATTGGCAAAACCTACTTAAGCTTGTTTGGGTTCACTTGTTTATCTTCATTGCGGAAACAGTTGCTTTGCTGAGAAATTGTTTGTTGAAATAGTGATCCAAAGTTGTATCATCCCCCATCTACCCTGTGTACTAATTGTGTGTTCACAAAATGTGGTGCTGAATATGTACTCAGTCATCTGACGTTCTCTTCAATTGAGACTGCATCTAGTTAGATGGTTAACTACTATCTCTGAAGTTCATGCTTTGTGACCTTCCGATTCAGTTTAATCTGTATTCAGGTTTTTACTAATGTCAGTATGAAGTGTCTATGCTGTGGAAATCTCCTTATTGAAGTGTGAGATTGTTGAGTACATAACAAAGTGCAACTATCTTATAGGCAGCCTGGAGGCAGAATAACATACATACATTTTCTCATAGACAATTTGCCATCATTTCAGTTTCTTCGGGTATTTTGAAATGACTATTCACCCTACTCTTCAGTGCCTGACAACTACATTTTCTTGGTGTTTGTTGTGGACTTCTCATGTCAGGACAAAATTTCTTTTTTGAATAAACGAAATGTACTTTTCAAAATCAACATATTTTGGACATGGTGTGCTGGTTGAAGAAACTGATTTAATATTAGAGAAATGGAAGCTGAAAGGCTTCAAGTTTGTTGGAATTTCTTTACATAGATGCATGAGTTGTGAATGTTAACAATAATCAACCATAGTCCTTCATGTAGAACCAATTTGAGAAGCTTTAACATTAGCTGAGTGAACAGATATGATGTAACCAAATATTTATTTCATGGTCATTTTAGTTTATTAACCTACACTGAATAAGTGTTCATTTCTCAACTTTATGTGAATATATTTTACAAAATTGCATGGTTTGATGTGGCTAATTGCTTCTAAATCCTTTGGAAATTACCAAGAGCTCGATATTTTCATTTCTTGTTAGAGAATGATTACTATGATACAATTTACGCACTTTCTGACAGTATTTGTTTGACATTCTTGCAACACTTTCAATGATCATTTGCTGCATTAAACTTTTTAGTATTAAATTAAATAGAAAATTAATAATTCGCTTTTTCATTTTCTAAAACGTTGGCATCGATATGAATGCCTTTTTGTTGTCCGTTATGTGAGACACACCCACAACAATCCAGGCTCAATGGTGATGATACTGGTCTGGCACTCAAGAATTACTGAGTTAACCCATATGGGTCTAACAACTTGTTTTAACAGGGAATTCATGTCAAGATTCAATGTGGAATAAATGGAAAGCATACGAGGTAGTTCTTGGTGGAGGGTCTTCAGACTTATTCAGTTCCATTTTATTTCCACACTGTTCTTCCCTGTACTCACAGTAATTGCTTGAATATCACTTTTGAAATTTTACATCAACACAGCTATCAGAAACCATGGGCACTGGATGGTAGAGGGCTGAGAACTATTATTTGAGAATTTACATTGGAATTGTTAATGCTGTACACAGGCTTACGGGAAAGAGAATGGTGCAAGTTGCAATCATTGTAAGCAATACTGTGTCATTTAGATGATTTTCTAATGTAATTGAATGTTATCTTATTTATATTTGATATCATTTGTGAATAAAGTTCCTTATTTTACCCTAGCATATTTGTCACATGTCCACAGGCTTTGGATTCAGTTGTATGATGAGTGATATAAAGGTAACATACAACGTTGCTGTTGTGGTTAAAGCATTTGTTCATGATCATCACAATGATGTCCTGGGTCCAAGTATAAATATGGATCAGTAGGGTAGCACCAGCATTCAGTCATTTGCTCATCACACTAAAGACCTGTGTTTGATTCCCCTCATTGGAACAATGTGTGAAGCTCATTCTTAGCTTCCCCTGCAGTGATGTCTTTACCCTAAGGAACATAAATATTGCTACTTTAGATATTTTTATGAATCACTATTTATAGCATGTATTTTTTTTAAATCTAAATATTGATTATTTACTCAGAAAATTCAAAAACAAAAACAGCACAAGGGTTGTAATGAGTATCTGTGGTTTATCAAATCACCAATGATCATTCCGAAACGTCGCCAATAATCCAAGAATCGTTTGGCATATTTTAGAAAATACACAAACACAAACACTGAAGTGAACTTTCTATGCTGGATAGTTTACAAATCGTGTATGCCATTTATGAGATGCCTATTACATCATATATACTTCATCTTTGACAGACACATCCCTGAATTATGCATATATTTAGCATCAAATTACAACTTGTCCTTGTCACTAATACAAATGGTCTGGATGAAAACAAGCAAAATTCAGACTTTACACTCCAGTATTTTCTCCTGTTCACCTATTCATTGCATAGCAAGAATCCAAGAATTAAAACTAGATATGTTCCAATGGTTTGGTAAATTCTAAAGAAATTGCCCAAGTTCCTGCCGTGTGATGCCACAAATGACGCAAAATCATGCATAACGACGACAGTCTTCATTTTTCACTAAATTTTTGTTACAATGAAAAACATAAAAACAATAGCACTATGCAGATTGTTTCTGAAAACTTTCATGACACGTATATGTAAGATCCTGAAATCAAAGGAAGTACTGTACTCTGAAAATCATACATACCGGTACTGCTGTCAGTGATGTTATATGTCAACAATGTTTTAATATTTTGTATTCTCTTTGAGATAGATGGTGAATGGAAGTACACACTATCATTCTTTCCTACTGCTTACAGCTTAAATCATGATGTAAATTTTCCATGTTTTCCATGTTTTTCCACAATTATACTATAGATGTATATTATTGTTCAGTATCATATACGTAGACTTAGGCCACAATATTTCTGAACCTTTCATAATCTCCTGTTTGTTTGAACATTCACATAAGAATTTGACACATTTAGTGTCATAGACCATATTTCTAACCTTTAGACAAATGTTAGAAGATGAAATGTAAATGAAACTGCAAAATGTACATATTTCCTTTGGAGTGAAAAATTCTATTTTGTAGTTTGATATAATGAACAGCAATTATATTTTATCACAACTATAACTGAATATATTATTTTAACAAAACTGGATAATTTTACATACAGACTTGTTTTGAAATATTCTTTTGAGTAATTGATTTGTATCAAAATTGATGGCTAACAGGTGCACTTCTTGTCCAATCAAACTTCTAATTGTTTATCTGTGCAAGACATTATTTACATAGCAAAGCCAATCATTTTATGTTGAGGCAAAAAAACCATCAATTTATGTTTTAAAAATCACGATTTGTAATACTATTATCAAAAATGAGGTGAGATATATATATTTAATATACCAATGTTGTCTTTCTCTGACAATGCCAAAGACATAATCAAGCCATGACGTCAAACAAAAAGGTGTCAATTTTTTAGTGATTCATTACATTTGATAAGGCTAGAACATCCATGTGTCCATAACTTCATTTTTGTTTGGTATGATTTGTGATGATACAAAAAAACAACGCACGCCTGCGATGTCCCAAAACTATGTTGACACATGTCGCAGAATCTTCAGTAACTGGTGTAGCCACTGTTAGCTTCACACATTGTTGACAACATTGGTGCATGCTGTTGATCAGGCATTGGAAATAACATTTAGGGATAAATTGCCTTTCTGTGAATAATCCCTAAGCCTCTGATTACTGTGCTGTACTCTAGATATTTTGAGTTAATGCCCCGAAACATTTTGCAGTTATATCATAAAATTTTAATGTGTCTGCTGGGGTCTTTGGCATAGATACTACAGAAATGTACCCTGGGTAATATACCCTAACTGAAATCAAACTACATATGGCACGTGTGATAGAGTTTACATGACAACCAAACTGAAAACACTCGTTCCAATCCCAGTGTTACACATATTACCAAGCTATATTTGTGGTATACAGAAAGGAAGATGGGGTGCATTTCTGTTGTACCTGTGCCGACAACGATACCAACAGCCAAAAGGTGATGCAGAGGTGTGATGAGTACTTCTTCGGGGAAACCCATAATCATGGGTATGGCGATGACAGATCAAGAATCATAACCAGGGCAAATCAGATATTCAAGCTCAAAATAGTTCAACCCTGGTAGCTAATGGACAAACTCTGTACAACAAATTATACCAGTGGGTCTATCTATACCTGGAGAGCTTCAAAGCATTTATTTACTAAAGCACAGGCATCCCTTCAGAATGAGCTTCTAGTCTTTGAGTGTAGATGCATGTATTGCAGAGCCGTGAAGATCCAGGGTAAAATTGGTCTTCAGCAACCCATGCTTGTCGTAAAAGGCGACTAATGGGATCGGGTGGTCAGGCTCACTGACTTGGTTGATGCATGTCATCGTATCCCAATTGCGTGGACCGATGCTCCTGATGTCAATGACTGGATTGTCTGGTCCAGACTCGATTATTTACAGACCGCCGTCATATAGCTGGAATATTGCTGAGTGCGGCGTTAAACAACAAACAAACAAGCATGTATTGCATGATGGTCTGCGAAACCACAAACATTCAAATACTGAAATTCAACAAACTTCAAACTCTGAAAATTTCAGTTTATTGAATATTAAAAAAAATCCTTGGATTTGGTGAGTTAACAGTGTGTACCTTTGTCAGATTGGTGGTATGTTTCTTATACATATACAAATCTTGTATATTCTACACAACAATAAACACATTTACATAACAAAATGAAAAGAAAGATTGTTGCATATGCAGGAAGATTGTTTGGGTACAGCATATATGAAATCATTTCGTTATATTGACTGGTGGTGTATTTTTCCCATTAAAAAATTCTACTGTTTTTATTATAAATGTTTCTATAACCTATTTCATCCATTAACATGACAAGAGAGTAGTTTTGCTGTTCACATAGTATAGTTAAATATGCATGAATATATAAATTTTAGTATCCCCTTTATTGATTGTGTACCATTAGATAAACATTCAAAATACATGATTCTATAGAAAACATCCTAGAAACAATTCTTATAGAACATTAACATGACAAAACATAACTACATACTATCTAGACAATCTCACAGGGATGCAAATACAGGTAGTCATGACAATATACTACTCCACTTTTGACAGGGATATTTTTATCATTCTATGATATAAAAAATTATTCTCAATGTCAAGTGAATATTTATATGGAATGACATATCTGATTATCACTATCAAAAGTTGAGAAGTATATCATGGAAATTGCATAGTAACACATGAGATGATTCACTTTTCTTTCCTACATATAACCTTGGAAAACTCATTGTATTGCTAAAAGAGATGGCCATTACTGAAAAGAGATTTCTTTTCCCCATTACCAGCCTAATTATGAGTGTTCTTCCTGACTTCAGAAGTATTGCAAATACCTCTCCATATTGTGTATAACGAGCCATGCTTTGTCATCAATGTCCATGTGATACTACCACACTTAATGTCTGTCAGTACCGGCATCTGATTGGCTAATCTTTAGTTATTCATCCAGTGGTGTATAACTCGCACATGTCTATATCAAGTACTCGAAACCTGACCCTGATCCCCCAGATTAATCTGCAACAAAGTTAACTTAACAAGACATACACAAATAAGACGCATGACAGTGACACGAGAAGCAAATGTACAGTTATCGAAATACACAGCAATGATATTTAAATCCATGTGTGAGGTAGTGCTGACCATGTTACACATACAACCTACAATTGTAGGACCGGACCTGTCAATAGAACTTTACCATATGCAGGGATTTATCTAGAAATGAGATTGAGATATGGCCCTCAATCTGCAACAAACATCAGTAAACATTACGAAATTGGAACTAAACATTTCCCAACTGCAGTAAAGTTATGGCTTTGTAGAGGTAACTTGTATTTCAGTTATAACAGAGCCAGAAATGGTATATGGTTGTTTACTAACTTCTGCATCATGCAAAATTTCAAATTTAAGAAAATACCTAATTCTGGAACATTTTTGTTATTCCCCCCCAACTTACCTGCCAAGGGCACGAAGTTTGAATTCCTAGATAAATCCCTGCAAGGACAAATATTTTTTTACCATATGCACAAATTCTGTACTGTTGAATAATAACAGATTGTACTAATGAAGATTAAATGATCTATCAATAATAGACATAATACAATTATTGAGTAAGTCCGTCATGTTTGAATTGTAGGTAGCTGTGGAACGTATTGAGCAAAATCTTAACCCTTGTCAACTCGAATTAATTTCTCTGATCTTTTCGCTAAAAAACATTTAAGCATTCAATAATATATAACATTATCACATATATTAATATCAAGGGTATATAGTATAAAATACATACAAAGAATCGTGTTGTAAGTTCATTAATTCAGGTATGGTACGTTATTCATGTTAGAATGTCCTGCCATATGAAACATAAACCAATCAGAATTACCTAATATTTTCATTGTCTCACTTCTAGATTTTAGGGGAGATTGAGTACCTAAGTTCTGAAAAGATATCAGTGATATGGCAAGTAAGCTGGGTCAGCAAGAAGCAGCATTAGCTATACTTTCCAAGATGTTTACCCCACTTACCCAGGAGCATGGGCATGGTGCTGACAGACCAAGGATCCAATCTGGGTGAAGCTGGTACTCAAACA